TACTTTTTAGAATTCCAGTGTCATTAACATACAGTGTTACATTAGTTTCAGGTGTACAATATAATGATTCAACAACTCTTTACATTACTCAGTGCTCATCATAATAGTACTCTCAGTCCCCATCACATATTTCCCACATCCCCGCCCCCTCCCCTTTGGTAACCATCAGTTTGTTCACTGTAGTTAAAAGTCTGTTTTTCTGTTTGTCTTCTTTTTCTTTGTTCATTTGTTTTATTTCTTAAATTCCATATATGAGTGACATCATATGGTGTTTGTCTATCTCTGACTTACTCCATTTAGCATAATACTCTCTAGATCCAACCATGTTGCTGCAAATGGCAAGATTTCATTCTTTTTAAATTTTTTATTCATTTATTTTTAAAGTTATTTATTTATTTCAGAGAGAGAGATTGAGCACGAGTGGGGGGGGCAGCAGAGGGAGAGGGAGAAGCAGACTCCCCGCTGAGCAGGAAGCCCGATGTGGGACTCGATCCCAGGACCCTGGGGTCATGACCTGAGCTGAAGGCAGACACTTAGCCAACTGAGCCACCCAGGCACCCTTCATTCTTTTTTTTATGGCTGAGTAATATTCCATTGTATTATATCTACCACATCCTCTTTATCCATTCATCTATATGGATGAACACTTGGGTTGATTCCATATTTTGGCTATTGTAAATAATGCTGCAATAAAAATATGGGTGCATATATCCTTTTGAGTTAGTGTTTTTGCTTTCTTTGGAATACCCAGTAGTGGAATTACTGAATTATATGGTAGTTCTATTTTTACTTTTTTGAAGAACCTCCATACTGTCTTCCACAGAGGCTGCACCAGTTTGCATTCCTACCAGCAGCAACAAGGGTTCCTTTTTATTCCACATCCACGTCAACACTTGTTGTTTCTTGTGTTTTTGATTTTAGCCATTCTGACAGGTGTGAGCTGATATCTCATTGTGGTTTTGATTTGCCTTTCCCTAATGATGAGTGATGAGCATCTTTTCTTGTGTCGATTGGCCATCAGTATGTCTTCTTGGAAGAATGTCCATTCATGTCTTCTGCCCATTTTTAATTAGATTATTTGTTTTTTTGATGTTGAGCTTGTGTAAATGCCATGAGCACGCTATGAAGGCGCACACACGAGTTGTGTCTTTCCACAATGTCAGCTTTATTCAATCATAAAGCAAAGTTAAATCACAATTATAAAGCAGGTTCAGGATTCCAAACTCAATAACAATGCACATGTGATTAAACTTGGCTTCTTATACAGCACACAAGGCAGGACAGAAGATAAGCCACACAACAAACAAGCTCACAGAAGGGTGCAGGAAGTTAAGGAACCAAACATGAAGTCAGTCTGTGGGCCCGCAGTTGAGATAAGGCCGTGGTCTGGTCTGGGTCAGCTCTCGGCACTACTGCTTCTGATGTTCAAGCAGCGAAGGATCTCGGTTCTGTTTGAAGATCAATCCAGCAGAGCCTTCGGCAGCAGTTACCTTTTTTAAGTGGTCAGACATAGAGGGGTCATGCCTGAAGAGTCTGACAGTTTGCTGCCAAAATCCTTCCCTTTTTAAAGGGATTTAATCAGTTTTGGGTCCCCGCAGACCTCCTCTGGTTTTGCTCCTTATCAGTTCTGGAGTGTTAGCTGACGCTGGTGCCCGCCATACCTCCTAGCTGCAGTACCTTAACTGCTTGCGTCATTGCTGATGCAAGCTACTGCTTGAAATGAGAGACTCCATTTTGCTCTCTACAATAAATTACGTATATATTCTGGATGTTAACCCCTTATCGGATATATCATTTGGAAATATCTTCTCCCATTCGGTGGGTTGTCTCTTTGTTTTGTTGGTGGTTCCCTTCACTGTGCAAAAGCTTTTCATTTTGGTGTAATCCCAGTAGTTTAATTTTGCTTTTGTTTCCCTTGCCTTTGGAGACATATCTAGAAAAATGTTTCTACCTCTGATGTCAAAGAGATTACTGCCTATGGTTTCTTCTAGGAATTTTATGGTTTCAGGTCTCACATTTAGGTCTTTAGTCCATTTTGAGTTTATTTTTGTGTATGGTGTAGGAAAGTGGTCCAGTTTTCATTCTTTTGCATGTAGTTGTCTAGTTTTCCCAACACCATTTGTTGAAGAGACTTTTTCCCATTGTGTATTCTTGCCTCCTTTCTTGAAGATCAATTGACTGTATAATCATGGGGTTATTTCTGGGCTCTCTATTCTGTTCCATTGTTCTGTGTGTCTATTTTTGTGCCAGTACCATATTGTTTTGATTACTACAGCTTATAGTATATCTTGAAATCTGGGATAGTGATACCTCCAGTTTTGTTCTTTTTTTTCAAGATTGCTTTGGCTATTCAGGATCTTTTGTGGTTTCATACAAATTCTACAATTATTTTTTCTAATTCTGTGAAAAATGCTGTTGGTATTTTGATAGGGATTACATGAAATCTGTAGATTACTTTGGGTAGTACGGACATTTTAACAATATTTGTTCTCCCAATCCATGAACATGGAATATCTTTCCATTTGTTTGTGTCATCTTCAATTTCTTTTATCAGTGTTTTATAGTTTTCAGAGTACAGGTCTTTCACCTCAGGTTCACTAACTTTTAATCCCTTGTAACATCCGAGTACCTCTTACTTTAAGGCATTTGATCATTCTAGTGATGCTAGTCATCATCTCTGTTGTCCAGGGTGGCTCTCTCCTCCTCATGACTTTCCATTTTCCCCTCTGCCCACTCAGTCAGTCTTCAGTCTCCTCCATTCTACTGTAAAAGGTCTTGTCAGGGTCACCAGGAACCTCCGTGTTGCCAAATCTGACCATTCCTTCGGTGTCCTCCTCTTCCACTACCCTTGGCACACACTGACCACTCCCTCCTTCCTCAGCCTCTGGACAACATGCTATCCTGGTTTTCCTTTTACTTCAGGGATCCTTCCTTCCTTCCTTCCTTCCTTCCTTCCTTCCTTCCTTCCTTCCTTCCTTCCTTTCTTGATTTTATTTGAGAGAGAGAGAGAGCACAACAGAGCACAAGCACAGGGAGGGGCAGAGGGAGAGGGAGAAGCAGGCTTCCCAGTAAGCAGGGAGCCCATGTGGAGCTCAGTCACAGGACCCTGAGATCATGACCTGAGCCAAAGGCAGACTCTTAACTGACTGAGCCACCCAGGTGCCCCAAGGACCGATCTTTCTTGATCATCCTTTCTAGGCTCTCCTCTGCTTGACTTCTACTACTGGAGAGGCCCAAGCTTGTCCTAGGACCCCTACTGTTGAAATCACTTCCTCCCTAGGTCATTTCATCCAATACCATCCACATGCTGATGTGTCTCGATTTGACTTCTACTTATATTTTATAACCAGCTGTGCTTTTTACAACTCCACTTGAGTGTTTAATGGACATCCCAAGCTTAACGTTTTGAAAATAGAACTTCTAAATCCCACTCCCCACTACCCTCCACCCCTGATGCCAAATCCGATAGGTCTCTAGTTTTCCCTGTTTGGGTAAATGACACCACTCTGCACTTGGCTGCTCAGGGGAAAGATTTAGAGTTACACTTGATTCTTTTCTTTCCTCACCTCCCACATCCGTCCATCAGCAAGTTCTGTCGCCTTTGCTCCAAAATATGTGCTGAGTCTGCCTGTTTCTTCCCGTTTCAAATCTTCCACCCTCATCTAGCATCATGTCCTTGGGGCTTGCTCCAGATTCTTAACTGGTCTCTGCCTCTCCCTTCAGCAGCCTGAGAGATCTTTTTAACATGTAAATCAGATCATACCCCCTCATCCTCTTGCTTAAAACCTGCCAGTGGCTTCCCACTTGTTCTGGCCCCAGCCCAGCTCTCTGATTTTCCTTCTCCCTTTTTCATTTTTGAAACTTTTATTATGGAAAAGTGTAAACACATAGGAAAGTAGTAGACTGAGTATTTAAAAGAACCCCTGTGTGCCTACCAATAATTCTTTTCTTAACTCATGGTCAGTCTTGTTTCTTCTTTATCTCCACTTACTTCCCCTGACCTGTGTTATTTTGAAGCAAGTTCCGGACATCTTATCCTCTCATCTGTAAACCCTTTCAATCTATATAAGATTAAAACTCTCAAAAATAAAATATAACCACAGAACCATTATCATACCTAAAAATATTAATGCTAGTTCCTTAATGTCATCAAATATCAAGTCAGTGTTCAGATTTCCAGTTGTCTCATAACTCAGTTTTTTTTAGTGTTGATTTAGGATCCAAATTATGATTATTGATACGCCTTTTTAAATCTCTTTTAAGCTATTATTCTCCCCTCCCCCATCTCTCTCTTTTCTTATTCTCTTTGTAATTGATTTGTTGATAAACCTAGATCATTCATCAAATAGTGTTCTCACAGTCTGGATTTTGCTGATTACAACCCTGTGCTGTGGGTTGACATTTCCCTCTTCTAATATCTGTAACTTGCTCTTTGGCTCTAGGGGCTTGATTGGATTCAGGTTTGATATGTTCCTTTCTCGAGTGGGGGTGGGGGAACAAGATTACTGCACGGGTGGTAGTAGAACTTAGCTTACCACTGTCCTCCTTGCCCACACCAACTTGGGCCACACTGGCCTCTGTCCTGCTCCTTTAGTTCCAGCCTTGGGGCCTTTGCCTTGGCTGTTTCCTCTGCTTATAACACCACCACCACTACCACCACCACGACCCCGCAACCCCCTGTCTTTGCATGGCCAGCTGCTTCCTGTCATTCAGATCTCAGCCTAAATGTCACCACTCAGAGCAGCCCTTCTGGGACCTCTCTATCTGCTCCTTAGCATTTCCCACTACTGGACACCATGTATATATTCATTTGTTGGCTTGTTTACAGTCTGCCTCCTCCTGAACTAGAGCATCAGCTCCATGGGAGCAAGAGCCTCATCTCTCATGCTCACTGCCGTATCCCCAGCACCAGGAATAGTATTTGGCCCATGGTAGATGCTCAGCAGATGCGTGCTGAAGGAGATGATGCCGCTCAGTCACATCTTTCTCTGTGTGCCCAGGCAGCCAAAGGAGGCACCATCAAAGCTGCTTCAGGATTCAGTGCCACTGAAGATGCCCAGACCCTGAGGAAGGCCATGAAGGGGATTGGTAAGTGTCCCGCGGGACGGGAACACGCCCTTAGGTTTTGTGCATCACAGAGTCACACAGAGGGTGCTGGGTCCACTGGCAAAAATGAGCAGGTCTCTAAGAAAATACAGTGGGAACAAGTTGGCTTTTAAGACAGATTAGTTGGGAGGGTATTCGTTACTCACTTTTCTTACAGAATTAACATTTAATGTGCTCATTCTGGATTTCCCCACTTAAATCTGTTTTGCATGAGAACATTACAAATCTGTATGTAAACTTTAGAAATGTATCTGTTTTCCAGCTAGTGCCGTATGTGTTTGGTGCCGTAGGGTTTGCAAAGCACTTACACAAATATTACTTCAATGGGTATGTACACAACAGCCCAACAATGCAGTGAAAGCAGTGCCTGCACTTGTTATTTTCAGCCCATTTCATGGCTGTGAAACTGAGACCCAGAGAAGTGAAATCATATAGTAAGTGGAACTGAGCCATGAGTCACACTCAGCACGTGGGCGTACTCTGGTCGCTCTCGCATGGGTGGATGTCTGCCCTTGGTTCATAGCTGCTATTTATAATCTTCTTGTGATCTGGTTAAAAACATTTGATCATGAAGCCTTATTTCCCGATTTTTCTCCCTCCAAAGAGCTTGTTTTACTTAGCCCCAATGTTATTAGCAGCAAATACGACAAGAACAATAACAGACAACAGCCTGTTTTACTGCTGTGAAGTTGAGATTTAGGGAGGTTAGCTAACTTGCCCGGCATCTCAGAGCCAGTAGGTGTTAGACTTAGGATTCTAGGCAATTCCAGGCAGTCAGACCCAGGCAGTGTGACTCCAGAGATGGAGTTTAAGTCCCCGTGCTGTCCTGCTGCCCATCTCTGGATGGAACATTGTTCTGAATTGATATGTCCTTCTCCTCATTTTCCCTTTTTCATAAATAAGATGGAAGGTGTGCTTGGCCCACTCTTTTTTTCATGTTTTCCTATTTCTTTGGTATATAGCAAGAATACCATAATTCAGAATGTGGACCACATTGCATTCATAATTCTCAAAAGTCAGGAGACATTTGACAACTGGTTCTTGTCAATGTCTGTTATATGGGGACCAATGTAAGGCAGACAGTTGGAGGAGACATGGATTATAAAACCTAGTCCAGCGTGTCCATGGATGCTAGATGGGTAAGGCGTGCACAGAAATAACTACAATAATGTGATAATAGCTATCATAATATGATAGTGATAGGAGGGGCACAAATGAGATCCCATTAGGTTCAGAGAGGAGATCACATTTAATTTGGGGGCATCAGGCAAAACTTAGAGGATATAGAATTTGAGACGGGCTTTGCAAGATAAGTTGTTTCAACAGAGATAAGAGAGAATGTGTTTCAGGTGAATGGAATAGCATGAGCAAAGGCATGAGAGGAGTGTGAGCATTGTGCCTTTTCCAGTTTAGCTGAGGCCTAGGGGACTCACAGTAAATACATGGAGAGGTGGCTTGCAGCAGGAGGTATTTGGAAAGCAGGAGTTGGCTGGTACCAAAGGGAGATCCTGGGGTTGCTACAGAGAAGGCCACCTGTAGAATCACGGACATGGGGGGATGGCCCAAAGGCATTGGCCGGGAAACCAGTGCCACAATGATGACACTCTTATGGGGTGGCTAGAGGGACATACAAACCAGTAGACTGGGAATGAAGAAGGTCAGGAGAAAGTGTGCAGTACATTTGGATCAAGTACAATAATTCAAGAGCTAGGTCTGTGAATTTGGCTGCCTGGTATCCTTTTGTGTGGATATTTACAACAGTGGATGGGATATTGTAGAAAGTCTCAAATGCCAGACTGCAGCTCCTGTAGTAAATCTAGCAGACGGGGCGGGGAAGGGGGGATGTTGGTGGGGCATTGTGTATTCCTGAGCAGGGGAGGGGCCCTCTGAGAGTTTTTCTTTTTAGGAAAATGAATCTGGCAGGACTTTGGAAAGACCAATTAGGAGATAAGAATACCAGTTAACAGATGTTACATGTGTCTAAGCCCCTAAAATCCTGAATTGGAGTAGTAGTGGTAGGAATCAAAGAGGGGATGGAGGCAAAAACGATTTTTAGAGTTAGATATTGTATGCCTTGGCAGGAAATTTGAATGTGGAGGATGAGAGAGGGTAAAAAAAAAAATCTATTTTGAGCGTTCAAACCTGACTGAAAGAAGGATGGTGCCTTTTATAGAAACGGGTGAGCGAAAGATGGATCTTCCCCCGCTGAGAGTTCTGAAGGAGAACAGGAAGGTTGTATATAGATACCTCCTTTTTTTTTTTTTTTTAAGAGAACAGAGAGTAGGTCCCTAAGATATGTAAACAAAGTTCTATAGCTTCCGTCCCTACAGCTCACACTTTTCTGGATTTCTAATCTTGCAAAGAATAACTATGGTAAATCTAGACTTTTTCATTTCTCCCTGAAATATCCCAGTAGAATCTCTTCTGTAGTCCCTCACAATTCCCCATACAGGTTAAACAGTGAGGAAGCACAAAACTCACCAAACATACGTGAACATCCAGCTGTTACTAAGACAAGGGACCGATTTTGAAAAATCAGAATAAAGCCCCCCCCCCCAAGTCAAAGTAGCTTCAAGAAACAGGCACACAAAATTTAGGACATTTAAAATTTGTGATTCTCATGAAGTTCTGGTCGGGTATTGCACAGTGGGAATTCGTCAGCAGTTATCAAAAGGGAACTGTCTGAGGTCAGGAAGGATAGCTTGGAAATGAAAAACACATTTACGGATCTCAGAGCGCCAGTGCATGAAGTGGGCAGCCCATTAAAACCCTGCAGGCTCCACCCCCCGGGTGAAGGGGGTCAAGTACACTAGTGACGAGCGCTCAGCGAAGGACAGAAGTGGTGAATCACTATATTGTACACCTGAAACGAACACAATACTGTTTGCTAATTATGCTGAAATTAAGAAGCAAAACCCTGCAAAGTGCAAGTGAATTAAGAGTCCGAATTGTTTCAAAACTCAGAGGAAATGATAACATTAAAAATGAGAAGAGGGGCGCCTGGGTGGCTCAGTCGGTTAGGCGTCTGCTTTTGGCTTAGGTCGTGATCTCAGGTTCTTGGGATCGAGCCCTGTGTCAGGCTCTGCACTCAGCAGGGAGTCCGCTTCTCCCTCTCCCTCCTCTGCCTCTCTTGCTCTCTCTCTTTCTCTCTCAAATAGATAAATAATATCTTTTAAAAAAACGAGGAGAGAAAAAGCAAGAATATGGAAGATACAGAAGAACCAAAAGACATGAAAAGAATTGCAGAGGAGGGGTAAAACACAATCCCAGTCAGCATTTAGTGAATATTTAGTCACTGCGGGGCATTGTGCTAAGGAATTCACTTCCTTGTTTTATTGAACACTTGCAGGAGCCCTGTGAGGGAAGGTGCTATGGTTACTCACATTCGTGGGTAAGGAAGCTGATGCTCAGAGAAGTTAGGTTTTTTTTCAGTGGTAAACAGTTGATTCAAGGAGAGGCTAAAAAAAAAAAGGAGAGGTTAAGACTCAAATCTAGTGTCTGGTTCCTGAAAAAATAGACAAACCTACTGAACAAGGACCTCTTTTCTTAAAAAGATCTCTGCATGTATTGGGGGTAACGCTGGTGTCCTTGGGGGACCTGTTTTCTCCTCTCTCAAATCACCTCACTCACTGTCCCCACTGTCCACCAGGCACCGACGAAGATGCCATCATCAGCGTCCTCGCTTACCGCAACACGGCCCAGCGCCAGGAAATCAGGACGGCCTACAAGACCACCATCGGCAGGGTAGGCCACAGCCTCTCCGGCTCCAGGGGCTGACGAAGAACCTGTCAGGCAGCAGGGAGGCTGGGGTCTCTTCCCAAGCTAGATTCCTGAAGTGGCCCTGGGTTTTCAGAAGCAGATCCTTGCCCTGTTTAAAGATGTTCTTGAAAAAAACAAAACAAAACGGTTTCAGCATGTTCCTGCCACTGTCCTTAGCCAGAAGTGATTTCTGGGAGCTCTTGGTGTCTTCCCACCCAGCTCCTTGCAGGGACTCCGTCGCTCAGTGGACTCTGCCCCCACCCTTCCAGCACTGCCTTCCTGATCCTGGTCAGGCTGCCGTTAGGTCACAGTGGATGGAGCAGTGTTTATATCTAGTTTGTTTTAAACAGGCTGTCCTAGGATTTAGAGTCTATTCCGACTCTTCCACATAAACACATTTGTCGCATATATTCATTCCTTTGATGATCCTCAGTTGAGGGACACCCTCTCAAATTCTAGAATGAGGCCAGTGTGTTGGTGAAGATGTATATAATTTGTAACCTTAGCATTCAGAGGGTGTTCATTCATCCCTTCTGCTCTGAATCGTGCACCCCTCAGGGACCCTCTTTCAAACTCCATTTTCAGCAACTCACTTACCAGAGCCAGTCCAGCCAACCTTTCCTCCACACTGTCTGTGTGATTAGCAAGAATCTTTTTACGGAGGAAACATTATCAATTAGTGTTTTAGGTCTCGGAGTACAGGAACTCTGGTAAATGTTTTATCCTCGAGAAACGTTACAGCTAGTCCAACTGCAGCTGCTTCTCGAAGACTGGCACTAAAGTGCTGGCTGGGACAGAGCTGGCTTGGCGATCCCCCAGGGCATCTGCATGCCAGCTTTGGCTGGGACCCCAGTGGGGAATGAGATTCTTCATAGCTCAGACTGTCTTTTGGGCATTTGGAACTCTTCTCCATCCCAAAGATACTTAATGAGCACAGATTGGCGTCAACATGCATGTGATGTGTGAACTGGAATATTCAGCCTCCGAACGAAGCTCATCTGATAGCAGTTTGTTAAGATGCCCAGCGTTAACGGATTGAGCACTGATTTGTTCATTCATGCAGTATGTGTGGATTTGAAATACAGGGCTGTGCAGTCAGGTTTGTGAGAATCAGAGATCTGACTTGAACAGTATCTCAGCTTCTTATATTGGTTGATCTTAAGCGGGTTCTTGAACTCTCTGACCTGTTCTAGGAGGAGATGTGAATAAACTTCTTTAGAATTTGGTCCTTCGTCCAAAGAATTACATTTCTTTTTAGGAATTGAGTCTTAAGAAATAATCATGAATGATCACAAAGATACAGCTAAATGCATGTATACGTAACGGTACGAAAATAGAAACGGGACCAATGAAAGAAATTATATTGCACCTACATATAGAAATTTTAGCAGCTGTTAAAAATGTCATAGGTGATTACTGACTTGGAAATATATTCAAAGTACATTGCTAAGTGAGTGAATACATTTAAGTCAGAGTCTACAAACTTTTTGATCTCAAGATCCTTTTACTTAAGTTATTGAGGACTTTTTTCTTTTTGTGGATTATATCTATTGATATTTGCCATATTAGAAATTAAAACAGGCATTTAAAAAATATGTCTGTTAACTTATTTAAAAATAATAAACACTGGGCGCCTGGGTGGCTCAGTTGGTTAAGCGACTGCCTTCGGCTCAGGTCATGATCCTGGAGTCCCTGGATCGAGTCCCGCATCGGGCTCCCTGCTCGGCGGGGAGTCTGCTTCTCCCTCTGACCCTCCCCCCTCTCATGCTCTCTGTCTCTCATTCTCTCTCTCGCAAATAAATAAATAAAATCTTTAAAAAAAATAAAATAAAATAAAATTAAAATTAAAAAAATAAAAATAATAAACACATTACATGTTAATATAAATAACACTTTTATGAAAAATAGCTATACATTCCAAGACAAAAACATTTAGCAAGAAAATTGGCATTGTTTTACATTTTGCAAAGTTCTTTAATGCCTGGCTTAATGGAGGACAGTTGGATTCTCATATCTGCTTTTGCACTGTTTGTGGTGATGCGTGGTTTTGGTTGAAGCACAGGAAGAAAATCTGGTCTTGTACAGACACGTAGTTGGAAAGGGGGCATTTAAAAAGCCTTGTAACAGGGGCGCCTGGGTGGCTCAGTTGGTTAAGCGACTGCCTTCGGCTCAGGTCATGATCCTGGAGTCCCGGGATCAAGCCCCGCATCGGGCTCCCTGCTCGGTGGGGAGTCTGCTTCTCCCTCTGACCCTCCCCCTCTCATGCTCTCTGTCTCTCATTCTCTCTGTCTCAAATAAATAAATAAAATCTTTAAAAAAAAAAAAAAAGCCTTGTAACATAATTGTAGAAAGGTACATGTCTCCGGTAGCCTTTGCAAAACTCCACCGTACAACTGTGAGAGAATGGCAGTGAGAGGGCAAATGCTGTCTTCGTGTTATCATGAAGAGAGTCGCGACCGTGCAGGCCCCCTGAAGGGGTCTGGAGACCCCAGGCAGCCCCGGCCCACACTGCGAGAGCGGCTGGTTTAAGTTAGCGTGGCAGTTACACAGAGCCCCTTGCTTGCCTTGCAGGACCTGATGGAGGACTTGAAGTCGGAACTGAGTGGCAACTTCGAGCGGGTGATCGTGGGGATGATGACGCCCACCGTGCTGTACGACGTGCAGGAGCTGCGGAGGGCCGTGAAGGTGTGTGGCCCTGCTCTCCTGCAGCCGCTGACCAGCTTCCTCAAGAAAGGACAAAAGCCTTGTGAGAGGGGGGAGGGGGAGGCACAGGAGAGAGCGTTCCCCTCGTTGGTGACAGCGCGAGAACGTGACATTACATCACAGCAGTCGTCACGTAAGGGTTGTTCCCGACGACGTGAGGCAGTCATTTGCTCTTGCCCGTGGCTCCGGGGGGGCAGTGATGGTTGTGCCCGTGGTGCAGCTCCAGGAGCTTCCTTGCTGTGTAGCTGCTTCTGAGACATGAAGCTTTATGGCGGACCCAGTGCAGCCTCTGGGTCCGCTGTAGCCTCAGAACTGTCAGAAAGGGTTCTTGGCCTCCCTCATTGCTGGGTCCACTGTGCCCCAGTCCAGGGTCTGCCAGTTTTGAATGATCAACTACGAAATTCAAATACAATTACCCTCCCCAGCCTTGTCCGTGAGCAGCCTTGTGGAAGGTTCTGGGAGAGCAAAGAGGTTGACAGTCTTTGCCAGAAGATTCTGCCCTTCAGAGGAAAAGTACAGGGGAACTCAAGGAGAGATTAAGCGCCCCCAGAGGGCAGGCACTGTCCATAACCTGGCACAATAACCATCCAATACAAACAGCCCATAAATGTTTGTTATTACTAAAAACAATTACGATAAATACATTGGAATTTGGGCAGGACAATTAAAATTAGCAAATCCCGTTGCTAGAACCCCGTGGGTTGTCTTTATTCTCTGCAGATTCCTGGCTATATATGCCTCTGTGTCTGGGATTCAACACTGTGAACTGGCTCCTAACTCCCTCTCCTCTGGGTTTCGTGTGTAGGGAGCTGGCACGGATGAGGGCTGCCTGATTGAGATCCTGGCCTCCCGGACGCCCGAGGAGATCCGGCGCATAAACCAGACCTACCAGCTTCGTATGTAGTGTCCTCGGTGGCCCTGTTGAGGCTTCGCTGTGGTTTGAGAAGTAAACTAGCAGCGGGTCGTCACCTACAGATTAAACTCTCCTCATAGCAACACTGACCACGAAGGATCCTCAGTTTCAGGCAGATCCCCGTCTAGGGAAATGACAGTCTGTTGGCTTCTCAAGACTTCTCTGGTTAAGATGCCACTCCACTGAAGCCACCCAGTGTAGCATTTTATGACCCTGAAAGCTGGAAGGTTCTTATTATCAAGCAGAGAATCAGACGTGTTTGTTCAAAAGTGGTGGCACCAGTGAATCTTACTCTAGGGAATGGCCTGGAGGGGCTGTCTAGCCCAACTTCTTACCTCCAGACGGGACTGTATACCCTCCAGCCATCTCAGAAAGATAGATATTTACTGTCCTCTTAAAAATCTCCAGAGGATGATACTTATGAAGAGCCTTTAAAATATGTCTTTTTGCCCTAAGAGGGCAATAAAAAAATGCGCAAAGGTTTAGATCCTAAAGTGCTTATTTGGTATTGTTCATACAGCTAAAAATATCCAACAGTAGCATATTGACTAAGCAAAATATGGTGCACCCACACAGTGGAGTATTATGTAGTCACCAAAATGTATATTGAAGGATATTATTAAATTTCATTAAAGGGATTATGGTAGAGTTTTGTGGGGTTTTTTTTTTTTCCTCCTTCATTTTATCTATTTGTTTTTCCCTAAGTTTCCCATAGCAAACATGCACTACTCTGGTAGAAAGAAAACAAAACAAGAGTTTTTTGGTAAGTGTTCAGAGCAGGAGATACTAGACCTTGGGAGCTTGGTTCAAGCACTCAGATCCCCACGTCTGCTGAATATAGGTTTTCTAAACCTGAGGGGCTGTGAAGGGTTAGAGCTTCTCTGGGGGAAACTCTCAGAAGGCACATGCTGGAATTTGGGCCTGACAGCCCCCTGCAGGTCCCCGAACATGGGTTCAGAAACTGCTTTCTGTTTTCCTTTCAACTGTCACCATTCTCTATGTCACTGAGAACCACAGTGAGGACAGAGCCCTGGGCAGTAGGAACCACAGAGGGAGGATTACAGCCGCAGCCTTCTTGACCTCCCATGTTCTTTTTCTTTCTTTTAAATTTTTTTTTAAAGATTTTACTTACTTATTTATTTGACAGAGAGATAGAGAGCACAAGCAGGGGGAATGGCAGGCAGAGGCAGAGGGAGAAGCAGGCTCCCCGCAGAGCAGGGAGCCGGATGCGGGGCTCCATCCCAGGACCCCGGGATCATGACCTGAGCCGAAGGCAGAGGCTTAACCAACTGAGCCACCCAGGCACCCCTCGAACTCCCATGTTAAGGAACAGGAACATCTTGTTTCCTCTAATCCTACCTAGACCATTTCATCAGTGTTCAGTTTTTGAAAAACTGTGTGCAGGGTGAAAACCCTCATGAGGAGCTGCTTCAGTAAACTGACTAATCCTGGGGAGGGCAGACGGCTCTGGAGCAGGACCGGTGCTGGGCAGGACTCTCTCCTGATGCAGCTCATTTTGCTCTCTTGCCAGAGTATGGGCGGAGCCTTGAAGATGACATTCGCTCTGACACTTCGTTCATGTTCCAGAGGGTGCTGGTGTCTCTGTCCGCTGTGAGTCGCTCCCTCTGTGGGCTGCTTCTGACAGGGGTTGAGTTCTTTGGGGCGCTCACTCCTTATCTCTTCTCCAGACTTTCTCATCCTTTCATCCTCCCAAATGTGAATATTCCCCAGGTGTTGTTCTTGGGCCTGTCTGTTGTTTTCATCTTCTTTCTTTTAGAGACTCTGGGTAGTCACACATACCCATTTATTCAAATTTGCATATACAAGGACCTAATACATGCCAGATACCCTTGCTTTATGAGTTTATATTATCACATATATAAATATTATATTTATATATCAGGTACACAGGTTGCTGTAATAAAAGCAGGAAAAGTGCCCAAGGAGAGGAACAGAGTAAAAAGAAGGTTCCAGGAGAGAGTCTGGTTGCAGAAACAAAAGAAAAACCTTCATGACAGGTGCCGGTTCGGAGAGGACCTGGAGGTTTGCTAGGATTTCAAGAAGCAGGGGTGTAGGTGGGTGCATCACACACAGGAAGAACAGCCAGAAAGAGGCAAGGAGGTAGGAACCATGGGGTGTTTCATGTCAGTCAACAACCGACTGAGCAGTTGGCAGGCAATTCTAGGAGCAAGGTGGAAGGAAGACCTGGGATCCCTTGTTGCAAGAGTAGGGACTGAAGGTTTGGGAATGCTGGAGGGAACTGCATTTTCAGAAGAGTAATGTAATAGTGTTGTGTAAGATCAGTTGAACTGGAGGCTGGGAGGCCAGGTAGGTAGTTACTTCAATATTCCAGATGAGAAATAAAGCAGGACTGGGCTAGTGTGGGATCAGAGGCGCCAGAAAATAGATGATGCATCCATGAGATATTTCACCTGACTTCCAAATTTTATCTTATCCCGATCTCCTTCCTGAGTATAAGACTCTCATTTCTCACTGCTTTCTAAGGTGCTTCCTCAAATCAGGCCTCCTAACCTAAATCTGAACTCATTTCTCTCCGCCACCCCCACCCCCCAAACCGGCTCATCTTCCTGACTTGCCTGTTTCTGTTAATACTGTTGCTCTTCGTCCAACAAAGCAGGACCCTGGAAATCATCTCCCACCCTCTCTCTCCCCTGTCTCTGATACTTAATAACGCCAGCCTGCTTTTTTTATTTCCTACCCATTTTGTTCTTTGCCTCCCAGATTTAGCATTCTGCCAAGCCATGCCTAGACCATAGAATATTGAGACAGCATAGCAAATAAAAATAGTCTAACAAACCAGAGGAAAGTCGCCTGTTTTGTGGCTCCTTAAGCCTTCCTCCAAGGCTTCAACCCCGCCCTCCCCAGGAGCTGGTGTCCGTGAGGGATGGAGCACTTTCACATGCTCCTTAAGCCCCACCGCTGGTCCTAGACTCTTGATTTTCTTCTGTTCCCAGCCCCTGTTTGGCAGAAGTGATCAATGTAGATTTGCCAGTTAGGAAGGCCTTGGTCAGCTAGGAAGACATAGGCGTGGGGGTGGTGGCGCAGGGGAGGGGCCGTCAGCAGGCGGGGTTCACCTCCTTCGCTTCTCCTGGGATAGATACCTGCGCAGCATTCAGGAATCGCTGGCTCTCTGGTTGGTAAAGTTTTCTAGGCACAGGTTAGAGCCACAGGAATAATGGAAGCACATTCATCCCTCCCTAGGCTGGAAGTGTGACCCCTGTTGGCATTCAGTCTAATGACCATGTCCTTGGGTTCCCAGACATTCTGTCTTCATGGATACTGTCTCATTCTCTTTGCTTTGTTTTTCTCAGGGTGGCAGGGATGAAGGAAATTATCTGGATGATGCTCTCATGAGACAGGATGCTCAGGTTAGTAGAACTGCAGTTTCTTTCTTTTCTTTTGCCAGTAAGGCCTTAGTTGGTGGACTCCCTTTTATATTTATATTTCAGTGTATATTGGCCAGGCTGGGATATGTTCTATTAAAAAAAAAAAAGATTCCCACAGATGACCTTTAATAGCAGAAATTTCTTGCAGAAATATACCTGGGGCTTGGGGTGACACAGGGCATTATTATATAAGATCCTTGGGTTCTTGACATTGAGATCATGGTATGGCCACCCCAGAGAACCATGGAGTGTCTTCTGAATCACCTGGAGGTGAAGGGACCTGCCTACGCTTTGTTCACCTTGCATTGTTACTTCCCCAGAGAGAATGTTTGATAGAACCTGTGTAAAAGAGCTTGGCACAGTGTGTACCCTGTTGGGTAAAATTAATATCAAACCCCAAGAAGCAGTTGTTTCCCTGGTGCCCAGCCCACTGATGGCTGCCCTGGCACCAACCCCGATTCATTTACTGTGGCCAGATAACACTAATTACAATAGCTAATAAAAAACAGGTCCTTACCAGGTACCAAACACTGTTGTGAGCTCTTGACACGAAGTATGTCGTTGAATCCTTGCAGTAACCCCACGGACCAAGTACTGCTATCCCCATTTTATGGATGAGGGAATTGAGGCTTACAGTAGTCCAGTTCCTTGCTCAAGTTCACAGGTAATACATGGAAGAACTAGGGTTTGAACCTGGGCAATTTGGATCTAGACCCTGTACTCCTAACCGACATACAACCACAGGGAAGGATTGGTCCCATTCAGTATGTGAGGAACGAATCACTATGGATTCTACAGGAAAGAACCTATTGCTTTCACCAGAAGGGAGAGGGGTAATCATGTCATAAGAGTTCTGAGGATACAGTGGGGCCCATCCCATACTGGAGAAATAGGAAATTGCCTTTAATCCAGAAGCTTTGAGGAGGGAGGAAGTATTGAAGACATTGGAACTCCAGGATGCTTATGTGAATTTCAGCTACCTCAAGGACAGCATTTTTGGAAGCATGTTGGAAGGAGCCTCCACAGCCCAGGTGAATCTCAAATTAAATGAAGAGTTAGTGAGCAATTTATTCCGGAGACATTATACCCACCGTCGGTTTCTCATGGGTCTCCTAGGTGCCAGGCATTGCATTAACAACCTTATGCTTTTTCCTTACAACACATCTGTGGAGTAGATATTATTATTTCATATGCTTTAGAGATTAAGAAACTGATGCAAAGATTTAAATAACTTGTCCCAGATCACATAGCTGGTGGAATTGGGCTCTTAGAATCCAGGTCTAATTTTTTAAAACCATGCAATTCAATGAACAAATGTTTTAGGGGCTCTTCAAGGAGCACAGTTCCCCTTGGGAGTGATCGGGGTGAAAAGGGGCTTCCAAGTAAGTTTGGGCTGGGGAAGTTGGACAGAGGGAGTAGAGCTCAGACTAGGTTTTTCTGGATCCTTTCAAGTCTTTACCAAGAGGTGAGGAATTTAAGAACAACTGCAGCTGAGATTTCAGCTCTTAGAGGATAAAACAGGAGGAAAACCTTTTCAGCCTTTGCTCTGTGACTTGTATCAGCAACAAGGGGAGTATTTGCAAACAGTGGGTATTATATCTTGATTTTGACAGAGGAAAGTAAGTGAGTTTGAGATGAGAAGAATGATCAGGGCAGGTGGAATTAGGTAATGGTTACTTATAAAAGGTAGAAATCTTAAAATATAGAGGCTGTTATCCAGCAAGTCCAATTGTATCTGTTCTTGGGATGAAACTTGCACCAAAGGACATAACCGGGAGCACTCAGAATTCCCACTTTAGAAAGAAACTGGTGATATAGTAAAACTACATTAAAAATGCCCTTAAGAGTTTTGGCTAGATGACACATTTTGATTCCCTTCTTCTGAAAAACAAACAAACCAGCAAATATAAAAATAGGGAAAATCTGCAGCAACACTGGAAACTATGGAGGAGAGCCATTAAAATGGCAGATGGGCAGCGAACCTGGGCCAACGACTCCGGAAAGACATTTCTACCCCAGAAAAACGGCTGATCCCCCCCAGCTCCAAGCCAGAAGCAGGCATTGTGGCTTCATGCAAATAGGAAGAAATTCCTCAGGGAACTCCTGTGTCTCGGCTGCCCTCCGTGGACAAGCAACTGGTGCTCCTGCTTGAAATCCATGCAAATAAAAAGTGAGGCGCTCCAGGAAGAATCCACTCACCTTGTTCTGGAGGGAAAAACCATATCCGGATAGGCTGCTCATCATTTAAGAATGGAAGAGCATGAAAAGCCACAAATGCCTCAGCCCAAACACCATGTGGCCTGTGAATACACAGAAGCAGGAAGGGAGGCAAATGTCACCATACTGTAAGGAAGACACAGATTTCAGGTTGAGAGAAAAACAGATTTCAATGAAACAAGAGCTAAAAAAAAAAGTGAGAAAATAACAGATGAACATGAAGCCGAATGAAGAGCAAGAAGAGATAAAGGGAGCTAGAGGGGCTCATGAGAAATGATCTTCAATGGAAATCTGAATTTTACAGTTTATTACTTTACTACTTAGATGAAGCCTTTGTGCCCTTCGAGCTTTAAAATTCCACAGTTCTGTGAACTGACTCTAAAGCAGTGAGGAAATTAGACAAAGAAACGAAGAATGAGGAGATGGAAGTAAGCCCACAGAGTGACAAAATGTGTCAGATAAGGGCATTTTGAAAAATTTCACAAGCCAGCTGCTGATTATAAATAAATAGTTTAAAAACATTTGTTTTTAATAAAATACACATAACATAAAATTTGCCATCTTGACTGTTTTTAAGTATACAGTTCAGTAGTGTGAACTCTATGCACATTCTTGTACAGCCCATCTCCAGAACTTTCTCACCTCACAGAACTGAAACTCTATACCCATTAAACAACTCATCTCTCCCTCCCGCCAGCCACTGACAACCACAATTTGGCTTCCTGTTTCTAGAAGTTTGACCTCTCTAGAGGTCTCATACAAGTTAATCACACAGTATTCAGTGTTTGGGTAACTGGCTTATTTCACTTAGCATAATGTCCTCAAGGTTCATCCACGTTGCAGCCTGTGTCAGAATTCCCTTCCTTTGTAAGGCTGCATAGCATTCCATTGCATGCGTACACCCACACTTTGCTTTTCCGTTCACATGTCAATGGACAGTTTGGGTTGCTTCTACCTTTTGGCTATTGTGAATAATGCTGCTATGAACATGGTATACAAATATCTCTGTAAGATCTGCTTTCAGTTCTTTTTGCTGTATACTCAGAAGTAGTAGTATTAGATCCTGTGGTAATTCTATTTTTAATTTTTTCAGGAAAAACCATACTGTTTTCTATAGCAGTTGCATCATTCTCCATTCTCATCAACTGCACAGGGTTCCAGTTTCTCTACATCCTCGCCAACACTTGCTATTTTGTTTTTTTTTTTTTTAAAGATTTTATTTATTTATTTGGCAGAGAGAGACATGGTGAGAGAAGGAACACAAGCAGGGGGAGTGGGAGAGGGAGAGGCAGGCTTCCCGTGGAGCAGGGAGCCCGATGCGGGGCTCGATCCCAGGACCCTGGGATCATGACCTGAGCCGAAGGCAGATGCTCAACCACTGAGCCACCCAGGCACCCCTATTTTCTTTGTTTTTTTAAATAGCAGTGAGGTGATAGGAATACTAGTTTTGATTTATCAGTAATGGAGTTAAAGCGACCAGAATTTCTTATAGTCCTACCTGTTTGGAATATAAGCAATTATGAAAAAAAAAAAAAAAAGGAATGTAAGCAATTACTAATGGGTCCTGGTTCTACTGTGAGGCCTTCCATAGCCTCAAGCAAATCACAGATCATTCCAGAGCAGTGTTGTCCGATAGAACTTTCTGTGATGCTAAAAATGTTTACATTGGCGTTGTCTAGTATGGGTAGCCACTAGCTAGTTTTAATTAACTAAATTTAATTTAATTTAAAATTCAACTTCTCAGTCAGACCAGCCACATGTGGCCACTGAGCACTTGAAATATAGCTAGTATGATTGAAGAGTGAATTTTTAATTTAATTTAATTTTAGTTAAAATGTAAATAGTCAGGGCGCCTGGGTGGCTCAGTCATTAAGCATCTGCCTTTGGCTCAGGTTATGATCCCAGGGCCCTGGGATCGAGCCCCGCCTCCGGCTCCCTGCTCAGCGGGAAGCCTGCTTCTCACTCTCCCTCTGCCTACCGCTCCCCCTGCTTGTGCTCTCTTTTTCTCTGTCAAATAAGTAAATAAAATCTTTTTTAAAAAAAGTAAATAGCCACATTTGGTTGGTGGCTGCTGTACAGAACAGCTAGTCTAGGGCATGCCTTTTAGCTCTTAAGATAAAACAATGTGGGGCACCTGGCTGGCTCAGTCAGTGGAGCATGTGACTCTTGATCTCAGGGTTGTGAGTTCAAGCCCCATGTTGGGTGTAGAGACTACTTAGAAATAAAATCTTCAAAAAAAGAAAAAGAGAGAACTATGTAGTCTGTATATTGGGAGCTGCTGGTGCTTGCTCTGACTTTCCCATTAGTCTTTTTTGGGGGCCGGGGCAGGAAGGGGCAGAGGGAGGGAGAGAATCCTAAGCACGTTCCACGCCCAGCACGGAGCGAAGGCGGGGCTCAATCTTAAGACCCTGAGATCATAACCTGAGCTGAAATCAAGCATCGGATGCTTAACTGACTAAGCCAGCCAGGTGCCCCAAGGTCCCATTAGTTTTATACCTAAGGAAAAATCTTGAGTCATTGCCACTCATCACAAAGAGCATTCCCACACCCATCACCAACAAAATAAAACAAAGCCAGCTCAACTCTTTGATGTTCTGGAAATATTTGCATGTTTCCTGGCACCTTCTCTGTGATGGTTTAAACTTGTGCTTTGTTTGGCTTCAGGACCTGTATGAGGCTGGAGAGAAGAAATGGGGGACAGATGAGGTGAAATTTCTAACTGTTCTCTGTTCCCGGAACCGAAATCATCTGTTGCATGGTAAGGCGCTTGCCTCATCTTCCAAAGAAAATGAGAGACGATGAAAACTATTGTCCATTATTAATTGAGAATTTTCCCCCTTTACTTGTACAAAGAACAGATTGTACTGAATTGTCCTAGATGTTTTACCTTGGAGATGTATGAGTACAACGATGTGCATGAGGGCCAATTTCTTTTTTTCTTTTTTTAAAGATTTCATTCATTTGAGAGAGAGAGGATGAGTGAGGGGAAGGAGCAGAGGGAAAGGGACAGGGAGAAGCAGACTCTCCACTGAGCGGGGAGCCCAACATGGGGCTCGATCCCAGCACCCGGAGATCATGACCTGAGCTGAAGGCAGACGCTTAACCGACTGCGCCACCCAGGTGCCCACTGAAAGCTTAATTATGAATAATTAGCAGATATACAACATATTAATAGGAGTTTGGCATTTCTGTTTGTAGGAAACCAAACCTTCACAGTCAGTCCTTTTTCTAAAGCAGCCCCATTTCATTTTAGTTATGTAAGAAAAAATCTTCAGTACATCAGTGAGCAATAAAATAAAATTGTTGGTTGACATTTATCCCTAGTTAATATCCAAGTTGTAAAGTTAATAGAAATGATTTCTTTAGGGAGTATGTTGCATAAGATAAATAGTGGATAATTCCAAATTTTATTTCCTATGTGTAATGTTTCTAATTTGCTTCTGATAATGCTTAGTCTTTGTAATGTGCTTTTAACTTTTTTGGGGAAAAAAATTGTAGCACATTTGTCGTCAGGTTTATTTTCTTCTTGTAAACAGCAATAAGGATTTAATAAGATATTTCATCTTTTATGTAAGTTCTTTAGGTCTTTATGTTGCATCATCATTTTTTAAGCCCACCATGCCTTATAATCACACACAATTTACAAAACCTATGGGAAATTTGAGAATGAGTTCAGTAAATTGAAAACATAATTGAAAATTACAACACATTTGGAAGTTGTATTTTTTTCAGATATTCCACAGTGACTAAAAATAGGTGATTACACCTGTTAATAAATGTCATGGGCTACCATCAGATGCACCAACTTCTGACTGAGCTCCCCATTTCTTCACCTTCCCTTTCTTGCCGGATGACTAAGTACATAAATCTCCCCCTGGTGGTATTTTCCAAGAACTGCAGGTCCTCAAAAAGTGCAAGTAACAATTTTCACTTCGAGGCCCAAATCAGTTGTTGGGAAGTTATAAAATATCTGCTTGTAAACCACTGGAAGAAAATCTAAGCACTCTTGGGATAAAGAAAACTTCATAATTTTTTTACCAACCAACAATAATAGTGAGGATTCAAATAACTAAGGTTTTATTAATTATCTTCTAGGTGCAGTGCTAAGCATATTAAAGATTTTTTTTTTATTGTTATTTGACAGAAAGAGAGAGAGCACAAGCAGGGGGAGCTGTGGGCAGAGGGAGAAGCAGGCTCCCCGCTGAGCAGGGAGCCCGAATGCGGGTCTCAATCCCAGAACGCTGGGACCATGACCTGAACTGAAGGCAGATGCTTAGCGAACTGAGCCGCCTGGACGCCCCCAGTGCTAAGCATATTACAGGCATTGTTTGTTGCAACATCCCATTGGGGCAGCCATTATTTCCCCCATTTTACAGTGGAGAAAAACTAAGGCTTAGAAAATGTGTCAATTAGGGCGCCTGGGTGGCTCAGTCGGTTAAGCGTCTGCCTTCCGCTCAGGTCATGATCCCAGAATTCTGGGATCAGGTCCGCATCCGGCTCCCTGCTCAATGGAGAGTTTGCTTCTCCCTCTGTCCCTACCCCTACCCCACCCCCCGCTCATGTGCTTGCGCGCGCTCTCTCTCTCTCTCTCTCTCGTGCGCACGTGCACAAAAATAAATAAATAAAATCTTTAAAAAAAAAAAAAAGAAAATGTGTCAATTAGATCTTTTGATCCTAAGCAATAGACACAGACTCCAACTTAAGTAAGAAGAAGAAATAATACAGAATGGAACAAGAGGGAAAATGGAAAATACTGGTGGCTCACTGAATTGAAGGGAGAGCCAAACATTTCCAGGAAGTACAGAAATCAAGGCAGATCTGGGGATCTCAGTGGAAGGGAGTCACATATTTTATTTGTAAGGCAATTTCCCAAAGTCTGGTCTTCATTGAAAATGCTGATTCTTGAACCCCTACTTCAGACTGACTGACTTAAAATCCCTGAAAGTGACATCTAGGAAAGTCTCCCAGGTTTCCCAGGTGAATCCTATGTTCTCTAAGGTTAAAGATGACTCAGTGCTTTTGGCCATCTCCACGATCTGCTCAATTTAAAAATCCCCAGGAGGGTAAGACTGGTTCTGGTTCAGTGAACTGCCCACTCACTTGGTAGAGCTTATGGTGTATGTTAGGGGGCAGGGGTGTCCCTGGATTGACAGCCCTGTAAGAATCACCCTGATGGGGAGCCTGGGGCAGCACCCCAAAGAAAGCAATGTTAAGAAGATAAATATCCACTCTAAGAAGCTCCAGAAGAAGGCAGTAAGAGGAAAATTTTATCACATTAAAAAATATTTGGCAAAAAGTGAAAAAAAATTATGTTACAGTCTATTAAAAGATGCAGCCATTTGGTTATCAAATGTAACTCAGTCTTGAAGGGGTTGAATTGCTCTAGTTTTGATGAGCCAAAAGGAAGGTGAAATACAGGTGATTTCCAGGGCCAAAATTACAAAAAGACATGTTCTGCTCATTAAGGGAACAACGAGAAAAGAAAGCAAATCTCTCCAGATGTTATTTCCATTTTATGTGTGAGAGAGCGGGGTCCCAAATAAGGGAAAGGGCTTGCCTGATATCCTCCGAGAGGCACAATAGTCCTTCGTCCTCTCCAGCACCCATTCCACTTGCTACATGCCTCTTGGGTTCTCACTGACATTGCTAATTAATTTCCTCTTGATGTATGCCAAAGAATAAAGAGTGAGCTCTGGAAAGATGCTCATTCTCTCCATAAATTTTCATTTCCTCTATTCTTTTTTTATTATTTATAATTCCACTTTGTTATTGTTTGTAGTGTTTGATGAATACAAAAGGATATCACAGAAGGATATTGAGCAGAGTATTAAATCTGAAACATCTGGTAGTTTTGAAGATACTCTGCTGGCCATAGGTAAGCTGGTAGGGGGCGGGGAGCGGAGAAACAAATGTTTATAGACTGTCCTCCTTACCAGTTTGTTGTCATGGAGATATAGTTTTTTGTTTTCAGGGATTAAAAAAAATGTTTAAATCACTCATAATGAGATCCAGAATTTTAAACAAGAAGTATTATATATGATCTGATTGTTATTGTATTATGTAGCTTTATATATCTTATATCCTCTGTGCCTTTAGATCTCAGTATGCTGGAAAGATAATCCTACTATAGCTGCATCTTGCAAGTCTATGAATGGTTAGAACTAATAACAGTTTCATATGGTGTAGATAGTAATCATTTTGAAACTGTATGCTGCCTTTTGCTTTAATTATCTTTATTATTTCTCCAATTAATTACTTTATTAATTACTTCTCCATGGCCTGTGTTCATAAAACGTTGTTGGACTAAAATTTTTCCGACAAAGCAATAAAGAGATACTATTTCATACCTTGTAGAAACAGGGGGAACAACTGTCACTTTTTTCTCATAGATTTTATCTGTAATTTTTTATTTCTTTTTTTCATCTCTTAACAGTAAAGTGCATGAGGAACAAATCTGCATATTTTGCTGAAAGGCTTTATAAATCTATGAAGGTAAATGGCCTCATTTTTAGCATCTGAATGACCCCAACCTGTCTTGTGTCTGCCTTCATGTTTACTTATGTTTCCCACACAAATTAACCAAAATCAGCCTGAGATATTCAGTTCATCAAATACTTCACTGAGTGCCTGCTAATGATAATACTAGGTAATATTTATTGAGTACTTATAATAATAGTGATCACTATTCCTAGTGCCATATACATATGGATTAATTTTATCCCTACAACAGCTGTATGGGGCAGGTACTGTTGCTAACCCCCATTTTACAGATGAGAAAAATGAGGCATAGGGAGGTAGGCAGTTTGTCCAAGGTCCTCAGTGAGGATATAATGGAGCAGGGATGCAAACACTGGCAGTCTGGCTTCAGAGCCCAAGCTCCTAACCATGCATTAGTCTTTGTGCAGACACCCTTGCTGGGAACCATGGGAGGTGCAGGAGAGATCAAAAGGTAGGAAGGGGAAGGCAGGTATGGGCAGAACACCAACAAGAACAAAATAGAATGTAAGACAGTAGTTGAGGACCCAAATATATAGGAACACAGAAAAAAGAGTATTTATTTTTCAATATTTGTTGAGGGGGTGAGGATCAGAAAAGACTATATAAAGAAGTTGGTATCTGTGAGCAGGACCTTCAAGGAAGCTTTATATGGGGGGATTTCATATGGTAAGAAGGATGGTAAGGCTGGGGAGGGAAGGAGGACATTCAGGGGGAGGAATCTACAGGCGAGGCAGCAGGCTGAGAATTCAGAGTATGTCTCCAGTGGCAGGGAGTGGTCTTCTCTGGTCAGAACACAGAACGTTGGAAAGCCTTGAACACTGTGGTGAGTATTCCACAGTCTTTCTAAGGTTGTGGTGCAAAGGACATCATCAGGAGAGCCATGCAGAGATTTGCCTTGATAAGCTAAAGAAGAACACCATCTGAAAACCAGCATGGATCTTGTCTTCTTCCTTAGGGCTTGGGCACCGATGATGAAACCCTCATTAGAATTATGGTTTCTCGAGCAGAGATTGATATGATGGACATCCGGGAAAACTTCAAGAGGCTCTATGGAAAGTCTCTGTACTCCTTCATCAAGGTAGGTCACGAGAGCCCAGCCTTGGCCCAGGGGAAAGCTCGGAGGAAAGAATGGGGTTCTAACCTGGGCATTCAGACACTTCTTAGCTGCTCTCTGGCAGATAGCATCCCCTTTAAAGATGGTACTCTAGGGCGCCTGGGTGGCTCAGTTGGTTAAGCGACTGCCTTCGGCTCAGGTCATGATCCTGGAGTCCCTGGATAGAGTCCCGCATCGGGCTCCCTGCTTGGTGGGGAGTCTGCTTCTCCCTCTGACCCTCCCCCCCTCATGTGCTCTCTCTCTCATTCTCTCTCTCTCAAATAAATAGATAAAATCTTTTAAATAAATAAATAAATAAATAAAGATGGTACTCTAATTCAGGTATTTCCAGTTTCTCTCCTTTCACACAGATGTTTAAATCTCTGCCAGGTTAAAAGCTGGAAATGTTTGCCTTCTAAATATAGTAGTTATTTCATGTTAACCCCAGACAGAGAAAGAGTATATATTAATGAATAGTTTTAACAATGCAGTTTCTTTGTCTACCTGCTTACGGTGGAAGGTATACAACTAAATCGGTCATCCAGAACCCTATCCCAGGCCAGCTGAGGTTCGCTGAAAACACGGAAAAGCATGTTAGTTACCCTGGATTGCTGCCTTTCTGTACCTGGCAGCAGACTTCCAGGAGTCCTAACCTGGCACAGGGGTGACGAGAAATGACTCATCCCTCAAAACCCCTCATTACTGGGATTTTGCTTCCTGAGGAAGCCAGAAGGGTCTCATGAATATGAAGCCAAGACCCACTTCCCTAGAAGCTGGTGTTGCCTGCACAGTAAACTTCAAATCAGGATTTGATCTGTGAATTAAATATTCTGAATCCTACACATAGCTTGCAGAGTATAATTATGAGGTGATTTGAGCTGCTGAGTTTGTTACTATGTATACAAAGCATTTAGGGACTTGTTTCTATTTTTTGACTTTCTATGAGGTAACTTTATTTTGCAGAGCTGAAATATAGCTAGCTGTAAGTAAAATACTTTTTAGATTCAAGGATGACTATAAGGGAAGTTATGGGAAAATATATTTATACTATATAATATAGAGTTAATATCCCTATATGAAGAGCTTCTACCAATCACTAAGAAAAAGGAAAAAATCCAAAAAGAAAACATGCACTTACTTCACAAAGGACAATAAATATATAGAATGATTAATAACCAATAATATACAATGAATTGTAAGTAAAAACAAATCACCGTCTTTCACCTTATACCTTAACAAAGTTTAAAGAGGTCATAACCAGCATTGAGAAGGGCTTGGGGAAAATTCACCATCTCTTATGGCAGGACTGTAAACTGGTCTAACCTTTCTGGGAGGCAGCTTGGCAATAAATGTTTGTTATTTTTTTTTTAATATTTATTTATTTGAGAGAGAGAGAGAGAAGCGGACTCCCTGCTGAGCTCAGACCCTGATGCAAGGTTCAATCACAGGACCCCGAGATCATGACCTGAGCTGAAATCAGAGTCAGACCCTTAACTGACTGAGCCTTCCAGGCACCCCAGCAATAAATGTTTAAAAAATAAAATATACCTCTTACTTAGCTATTATAGGTTTAGGAATTTCTTTAGAGAAAATAATAAAATAAAAATGCATTAATCCACAGAATGGGAGAAAATATTTGCAAGTCATATTTAGTAAGGGTTTACTATCCAGAATATATAAAATGTTTTCTACAACTCAACAAAAAGACAAACAACCCAATTTAAAAATGACAAAGGATTTGAGTAGACATTTCTCCAAGGAAGGTGAACAAATGGCCAATAAGCACACAAAAAGATGCTTAACATCATTAATCATTAGGGAAATGCAGATCAAAACCACAATGAAATACCACTTCATACCTACTAGGATGACTATAATCTTAAAAAACAAAAATAGAAAATAACAAATGTTGGGGAGGATATGGAGAAATTGGAACCTTTGTACATTGCTGGTGTGGACGTAAAATGGTGCAGACACTGTGAAAAACAGTCTGGCACTTCCTCAAAGAGTTAAATATTTTAAAAAATAGTTAAACATAGAATTACCAAATGACCCAGCAATTCCACTCACTGCTATATACTCAAAAGAAATGAAAACAGGGACTCTAACAGATACTTGTACACTAATGTAAACATTATTCATAATAGCAAAAGGTGGCAACAACCTAAATATCCAGCAACAGATGAATGGATAAACAAAATGAGGTATATACATACATAAAAAGGAATGAAGTTTCTGGTATATGGATGTACCTTTGGAACATGCTGAGTGGAATAAACCAGACACAAAAGGACAAATACTGTATGATTCTGTGTACTTACACAAAATATTTAGAATAAGTAAATTCACAGAGACAGAAAGTAGATTAGAGGCTACCAGGAGCTGGGGGAGAAAGGAAATGGAAGGTTATTGGTTAGTGGGTTACAGAGTAGGGGAGATGAAAAGGTTTTGGAAATAGTGATGATGGTTACACAACAATGTGAATTATACACTTTAAATGGTTAAAATGGCAAATTTTGTTATATATATTTTACCATATTTATGAAAGAATTTGAATAAAATCATCTCACAAAATGTGAAAAAAGTCAACTAAATATTGTATTTTATCTTATTTTTTTAAAGGTCATTTACCTTTTTCTTTTTTCTTTTTTTTTTAAGATTTTATTTATTTATTTGACAGAAAGACACACAGTGAGAGAGGGAACACAAGCAGGGGGAGTGGGAGAGGGAGAAGCAGGCTTCCTGTGGAGCAGAGAGCCCAATGCGGGGCTTGATCCCAGGACCCTGGGATCATGACCTGAGCCGAAGGCAGACGCTTAACGAATGAGCCACCCAGGGGCCCCTATACTTTATCTTAGTATTATTTATATTTACATTACTTTATGTTATTTATATTTTATAAATTATATGGTATATACTTATGGTACATAATTCATTATATATTATTATTTTTGTTAACCAATAGAGGATGACTCAAATAAATTATGGAAAATTTATACAATATAATACTATACAGGCACTAAAATGATGGGGTACAAAAATATTGATCGGCCCAGGCAACATCACTATAAATATATTTATATTATATGTTTATATATATATAAATATGTGAATATATATGTGTACACACACAACACTAGAAAAGATTAAAAATAAAGAATATATTGCCCACTTAATAACAGTTGTCAGAAGGATGAGAACAGATATATAAAATATGTCAATAATGGAAAAAATGACAGGGATACCTGAGTGACTCAGTCAGTTAAGCATCTGCCTTCGGCTCAGGTCATGAACCCAGGGTCCTGGGATCAAGACCCACGTTGGGCTCCCTGCTCGGCAGGAAGCCTGCTTCTCTCCCTGCTTGTGTGTGCTCTCTCTCTCTGACAAATAAATAAATGGAATCCTTTAAAAAATAGAAAAAATGACAGAAGTAAGACAAAATGTAAGTTATAAATAAGCCCTCAGGTTATATAAAAATGTAAAATCCAAGTCTGTGCTGTTTATAAGGAACAACTAAACCACAGTGACATGTAAGTAGCTTAAAATAAAGGCAGTTTACATTTGACAATATAAAAAAGAAAGCAGGGATTATACTATCAGGAAAAAGAAGAATTTAAGGAGAAAAAGCATTAAATAGGAAAAAACGGATGACTTTATATTAAGAAAGGCAACTATTCACAACCAAGATTAAGTTGCGTGAAACTTTGGGTGCGAGTATTGCATTCAGATCTATAAACAAGAAATTTGAAACTCCAAAAGAAGACATCGATGGCAATAGTATGCCAGATAGAGTTTAACAAACACATCCTTATTCTCTGGCAGATTGATGAGGCAAAGCATAAAGAAGGATATATTAAGATTTATCTTAATAGATTTATATATTAAACTTTGAATCCTATAGACAGAGATTCCCTCTTTATTTATTTATTTTTAAGATTTTATTTATTTATTTGAGAGAGAGAACACAAGCAGGGGGAGGAGCAGAGGGAGAGGGAGAAGCAGGCTGCCCGCTGAGCAGGGAGCCCCATGTGGGGCTCATTCCCAGAACCCTGGGATCACGACCAGAGCTGAAGGCAGACGCTTAACCGACTGAGCTACCCAGGCGCCCCATCTTTTTTTTTTTTTTTTTAAGATATATTTAGTTATTTTAGAGAGAGTGCGGGAGGGAGGGGCAGAGGGAGAGGGAGAGACAGAGAATCTCAAGCTGACTCTCACTGCACACGGAGCCCAATGCTGGGCTCAGTCTCACAACCGTGAGATCATGACTTGAGTGGAAATCAAGAGTCGGACACTTACCTACCCCAGCCACCCAGGCGCCCCGAGATTCCCTCTTTTCTAGTGCCCGTGAAACACAAGCAAAAACTGATCTGTTAATTAGACCATAAAAAATTATATGTAGAAATTATAGCACCTTTCTGGAAGGCTATTTTGCAACACATATTGAAAGGCTTAAGAAAATACATGATGATTAATCTGGTAATTCCCATTTTATGAAAATTTATCCTGACTAAATCATGAAGAAATGCACAAAAATTTAACTATAATTCTTATTGCAACCGTGTTTATAATAGATATTTGGAAACAACAAATATCTAACAATGGGGGAGGGTGATCAAATAAATTTTACCTGTATACGATTGAATTCCTTTTAACCATTAAAGAATGATGTTGTAGAAGAATATTTAATAAATTAAAACAGGGAAATAGTCTACATTATGTAAAAAAAGCAGAATACAGAACACTATAGGCCCATCACACAGGAACCTACACACATAGAAAAAAGTCTGGGAGGATATGCACACACCAAAATGTTAAGAATAGTCATCTCTGGATTGGTGGAATTAGGATTTTTATGTTTTTCTTTTAGGTCTTTATTCTCTACATTGAACATGTATTATTTTGCAATAAAAAAATAACATGTTATTTTTAAAAAACACCTCTCTGAGAAAAAGCCAGACAAGATTGAAAAAGTTAACACAGATGACTCTGAACTGTGTATTCCATGTCGAAACCCATTTATCTGACTGTACATTTGCTTCGCTTGCCCCCAGGGAGACACATCTGGAGACTACAGGAAGGTACTGCTTATTCTGTGTGGAGGAGATGATTAAAATAAAATCCAAGAAGAATAGGAGGATTCCCAGTACTTTGAATTTTTTTTTAAGTTCATTTTTCTACACTACTATTAGCATTATCTCATTGCTCATTTCCAACTAAAACGCCTACAGATGCTTCCTAGGATATGGACTGGCTGTATTATTATTCATCTATAATTACTCATTATGATGGCTTTAAAGCTGTACTTGCATTTCAAAGCTTATAAAACAGGAGATTTAAAGTTAGAAATAAAAATGTATTCCATGTTTTTAACAGATTTCTTCCTCATCTGTGTTTCACAGAAATTGGAATGTATTAAATTTATTTCATGGTTTTGGTGAAAAACCATTAAAGTGGAAGACTGAAAGACTGTCCTAAAATCACTCTGCTTCCCTAATTCCATTCTCAAAGTGGCTAGTAATTTCTTCATTTGAAATTGTGAGCATTTAGTTCATAAGAATATCCAATTTGCTATTTTACATGGTCATACTTTGAAGACATCCAATAATCTCCTTTATTTAGATTTTGTCTATACTGTTAGTTGATCTCTACAAAAGTTTGCATGGGAGACTTCCTTCCTCACATCTTATATTAAGATTATTTACTCTTTCCAGGTTGAAGTATACCAAAATCAGCAACTTGTCTGAACAAATTAAATTCTTAGTGTGCTTATACAGATCACATATGTGCGGTTAACAAACATAAATGCTGAACATTCCACAATATTATGGTTAATATCTTAATCTAGCTGGAAGATGAATGGAAAAAAAATTAAGTGTCCAACCAGGTATTATTTTGGTGATGGTGTAATGTTCTGAATTTACTTAAAGGAATTTTTTTGTGCTAAAAATAATTTTTAAAATGTTTTTCAATTTTGTTGATTTGTAGCAATTTACATTTGCATTGTGCCTTTCAACTCTGAAATTATTCTGTAGTTGTACTTGATTTTATTCAAAAGTTCAGTTTGTATACAACATGGAAAAATAATTTTAATAAAACATGGTATCTTTAAAATGACATATGTTCTTTCTCTAATTGAATTTTCCACTATCTTTAAAAAATTTCTGTCACTTAATTTCTATTAGAAACTACAATGTTAAGCAGCACCTGGGTGGCTCAGTCGGTTAAGCGTCTGCCTTTGGATCAGGTCATGATCCCAGGGTCCTGGGATCGAGACCCACATGGGGCTCCCTGCTTGGCGGGGACCTGCTTCTCCCTCTCCCTCTACCTACTATTCCCCCTGCTTGTGCTCTCTCTGTCAAAGAAATAAATAAAATCTTAAAAAAAAAAAAAACTACATTAAGAAAAAATAATATAGTCTTATGTACACTTATGGCTATAAAACTAATGTTCACATATACCAAACACTACTTAATGGTATAAAATAATGTATTAATTTATTCTCTGGAAATGAGTGATGCGCTCTGTTCTACTAAGTAGAACATTTGTATTAAGTAAGAATAATTGCCTTCTTTGTTCATTCTATAATATCTGTTGTATTTTGATGGATGAAATATAAAGATATTTCTTTCAATTTGTTTCTACTTGCCTATTACAAAAGCTTGAGTTATTGGTGAAGGCTATTTGTATGAATACTTAGTCATTCCAATTAATTACAGGAAACATTACTGCTGCTTTGATACTTACCTAGAAAAGTATGGAATCTCCAACTTTATTTGGCTTTGGAAGCATTACAAATTTTTGGTAGTTTTATGTTTAAATTATATATATAACTTAATCAAAATTTTAATACAAATTGCATTTGTTAACTGGAATCAGGATAAGGCCACCTTGGAAGAATGTTTCTTTATTGTCAAGAACAAGCATGACTCTGGAATATAATTGTGAGGCAACTTTGTTTTTCTCTCCCACTGTTCATCTACATTTATTCATAGGCCTATCTCTTCTGGCTTTAGGTGGAAATTCAGATAGAGGATAGAGCTGGGACTTTTCTGGTCACTCTTAGGTTTTAAAAAGTCCTACTGTGCAGTTCCTTAAGGTCATTTTAGTAATTAGTATGTCTAGCCAAAATTCCAAACTTGACTTACAGTTGAGGCTTCTTCCCTTGTTTAGCTCTGGCCTATTGCCAGCAGGAATAAGGAATATGGTGGACTTCTCTTCTTTCTCCACCTCAGTTTCTTTCCATAAATGCAACCCAAACTTAGCCAGGGTTGTAGCAGGAAGGAGGAGAGTAAAGGGGAGCAGGGAAGTTCTTACCTGACTGTTACTGCTGTGGTGGTAGAGGATCAGCACTGGGTTTTTTTTGTTTTGTTTTGTTTTTTTTAATGTTTTATTTATTTATTCATGAGAGAGGGAGAGAGAGAGAGAGAGAGGCAGAGGCAGAGGGAGAAGCAGGCTCCCCACCTAGCAGGGAGCCCGATGCGGGACTCGATCCCAGGACCCTGGGATCATGACCTCAGCCGAAGGCAGACGCTTAACCATCTGAGCCACCCAGGCGCCCGGATCAGCACTGTTTAACATTGGCAGATATTTAAAGCTGATTCTTAGGGGCATTCTCCCAGGTTCCTTAATCAACCCCATCACCAGGGAACTACTCATCTTCTGTTCCTTTGGCAAGGCAAATGTATTCACCTTTTCCAGCCCCTAGGAACTCGATGATACCCTCAGGTGCTCTTCGCTGAAGTCAGTTTGTCCTTCCACCAGGCCTCTAGGACAGAATCTAAGATGATCCCATGCTGGCTATCTTCTGGTGGCCCACACTTATTCCATGGGAAACACTTGCACATCCTTTGTGCTGACAAATTCTGGGCATGAAGACTGATCCCCTTGCTGCCATCATTCTCTGTCCCTCTCCTCCCTACCCCCCACCAAGCTGCCTCAGCCAGCTTCTCCCCGTTCAAATTTCTGAGTCAGAGACACCAGTCCACTGGGGCCCCAACTACATATACTGCTGATGGGAGTATAAATTGGTAGAATCATTTCAGAGAACGATTTGGCAATAGCTAGTAAAGTTGTAAAGTTCCTAGGAAATCCACTTCTAGGAATTTGGTGAATCTTTGCACATGGTGTTCATTGCTACTCTATAAGAACATTAAAGTAGAAGCAAACTAACTCCCTCACAGTAAACAAATTGTGGGTTAGTGACACAATGAGCAGTGAAAATTAACTGGAGATTTGTCAACTGAATAAATCTTAAAAGTATAATTCTGAGAAAAGAGAAAGGTGCAGAATGTTAGGTACAGTTTGATTCCATTTAATTACATGCCTAAATGTTCTAAAGAACATATATTACTTATGGGTATAAGAACATGCATGGGAAAAAATGATATACACTATTCTCAGGATAGTGGTTACAGTGGAGGGAGAGACAGAGTGAGATGGGGGGAACTTCGTTCTATATTCTATTTAAAAGAATGAAAGCAATTTTAATTTAAAATTATCATACTGTGGTGGGTCCATAGGTGTTTATCGTATTACTCTGCGTAATTCATTGTAAATACTTTATTTAAAAAGTAGCAGAAGGGAGTCAGGGAGTGAAAGCTGGCTGTCCAGAGTCCATGGCAACTGCTGTACACTTCAGGCAGACAGCTGTAAATTTCGATCGGGCCTCCAGAAGGCACTATAAGCCCTGCCAGTCCCGGTACCAGACCCTATCCAGACGTTCCACTGCCGCTAGGAGGGAAGCTGAGGAGTGCAGGGAACATTTGCCACAACCCGTCTGGGGCAGCAGAAGGCTGATGTTTAAGAAACACAAAGGCCTAGCAAACTCCACATTGCAGGTCCTCCTCCCTGAGGAAGCCAGGCCAAATCTCCGCAAGGCGTGATCCCAGAAAGTGGTGAGCTCTTCTAAGGAAGAGCCCAAACGGCACCGTCCTTTTCGCCCCTTGCCTAGCGCAGAGCCTACAGGTGTTCGGAACTCAAGAAACCTTAGCAGAAAGAATCAAGGAGGGGGAACTCCCGGTCGGGCCAATACAATGGGGTATGTGGAGTAACGCTAAAATCTAGGTTGGCTCCAAAGCTCACGGTAGTGTGAGACCCAGGCCGACCGCAGGCCAGCGATCATCTACACGCCTACTTTATTCCGGGTTCCAGCCGGCGTCCCTTTCAGTGCAGGCTCCACCCACCACGCACAATCGTCTTTCCCCGCCCCTTCCGGAGGCTCGCCGCGCGCACGCGCGCTCCAGTCCGCGCTTTGTTGCGAAAGCGAGGGGGCGAGGGCCTGCGGTCCCGGCGCGCCGCGCGGCGAGACGCGGCGGGCGGGGCGGAGGATGGAGGCGGTAGCGTCCGCTGCGACGGTTGGGGCTCCGCGTGAGAAGGTGGCGGTGTAGGCACCCGGGCTGGGTGGAGGCCGGCGGCAGCCGGGCCATGGCGGGAGACGGTCTCCGTTGGGCTCCCTGAGGTGCGCTCCCTGAAGTCCCGGGGAGCCGTGGTCCATGGGCTCGCTGAGCAGCCGAGTGCTGCGCCACCCGGGGCGAGCCCGAGCCCAGCAGGAGCCGGGTTCTGGGGCGGGGGGCTCGACTCGCAGGCCGGAGACTGGCGGCGATGCGGCCGGCCACGGTTTCTGTTACTGCCCGGGCAGCCGCAAGCGCAAGCGGAGCAGTGGGGCCTTCTGCTACTGTCACCCCGACTCCGAGACAGATGAGGATGAGGAGGAAGGGGACGAGCAGCAGCGGCTCCTCAACACCCCGCGCAGGTACGTGGAGGGACGCGCCCGCACCTGTTGGGCGGTTCCAGGGCCGCGCCTGGGGACAAGTCCGGCGCCGGGCGCACTTCGGGGTGTGATGCTTGCCCAGGGGGTGAGGAGCCGACGTGCCCTTTACTGGGAAACCTGGGAGCCAGACCGATGCGGGGCGGATGGGGAGCGCTTGGGAGACGCTTGGGTTCTGGATTATAAACCACAGACGCTGTCCGAGTGGTATTACAGCCCCAAGATGAGACTGGCAAACGCCAAGCCAGAGCTTGGGCCTCATTAAACCTTAGGCTGGCCTTCCGTAATACACCTTTGTCCTCTCTGAGTGGGTGGCAGGAGAATGAGTTGTTCTGCATCCGGTTACCTTAAGGGGCACCCCTGCTGTCGTCCTCCAGTGTAAAGGGAAGTGATTACATACGCGAGGAGTTCTCCTTAACTGTAAAGGTGAAGTTTATCAATAGTGTACATTTGTTCCTTGCTAGGAACAGTCTTTCAAAGTCTCCAGTACTTGAACGTTGACCGGGGATGTGTGTAAGCCAGTGCTGCAGCTTGCTTAACCTTTTTTGAAAGAGTTGAGTCGAAAAACAGGATGTTTACTTGTGAATTAGAAAATTAGAATGCGTAGAATGTTTTCACATAAAGCAATCTGGTTGCGTTTTTTTTTTTTAAAGATCATCAGTGGGGTCACATAAATGTAATTTTTTAGATGAAACTTTAAAAAAAGATTGAAAAACTTTGCTACACAGGTGTAACTTATTGTAAAATAAAAGTATTATGGGTAACCTGTGTTAATAGTTTGATATCTAAAGATCTTTCATGCAGTTTTATCTGTGAAAGCTTGTATTTATTTCAAAAATGGACACCATCGCCCCCCACCTTTTTGGAGAGTCAGTCTCGTATAAAGAGCTCAGATTATGAGTTCTAGTCTGGGTTCTGTGCTTAATAGCCTTAATTCCTCATAAGTAAAATGGAGATGCTAATATTTGCCTTTTAGGGTTTGACAAATACTAGATTGTGTATAATGCACAGTGCCTGGCAGTGTTGAGGCACTCAGTAAATATTATGTCTCCTTGATAAATTGGCCCCCTTTATCATTACAAAATGTCTCACTTTATCCCTGGTAATATATCCACTATTACTTTCTTTTGATAAGTGTTTAAAAGGTATATCTTTTCTGTTGTTTCCTTTTTTACCTGTACCTTTATATTTATAATAGGTATCTTGTACAGAGCATATAGTTGGGTCTAGCTTTTTTTTTAATCCTTTAGGATAATTTCTGCCTTTTAATTATTATTTAGACCACTTATATTTAATGTCATTATTAAAATCTATGTCAGGGTCCATTCAAAAGAGAAATTATGCTGCAATTTGAACAGGGAAAATTTAATATAACCATTATTAGCAAGTAATGGGGAATTAACTACTGAAGGTAAACTACTGAGGTAAAGAGATCTCTAAAAATATACAGGAATAGAGGATATAAGGGTGCAGTCACAACTTCTCAGATTGAGACAGAATACCCAAGGAAGGAACAAATTTGGAATATAGCCATCTTTCTCCAACTGAGATTAAGATATTGGAGATGGTGTGGCTGTAGCCCACCCTAGATGGTAGAAAAGTTTGCTGAGATGTGGTAGGCTAAGGCGGGCAAGCAGGCAGCTGCCCATTGGGATGCCAACAGACTTGCTTGCTGCCTCTCTGGCTGACAGAGCCAAAAATATATACTGTCCAGATCTTTATAGAAAAACTTTGCCAACCCCCTGAACTACATGAGTGTACTAGAATGGAAAGTCTTCAACGCAAACCCTTATTAGAAAATACATTGAGAATTTAGTATGTTTTGTATCAGTGGAAGAGGCCTGGCTATTCAGCCCAGCATGGATGAAGGGTGTAAGAAAATATTAAGACCTAGAAATTTGAGTGTTGGCACCAGTTATGTTCCCTGAGGTTGTCTGATGTGCTCTCCCACCGACCAACTACTCCATGAAAAGCTTTGCCTTCCAAGCCCACCTTCCACTTCATTCACACCTTTTGACACCTGTAATTTTTACTTTTACATTAACATAACTGTTAAAATTCAGTTGTTCTGCAACCAGATCTTGGGTGTTTGCTGTGCCTTAGACCGTCTTTAAATTTTGAAACTTGGTAAACAGTATTTGTTGTTAGAACTATGTAAATACTGTTCACTGCAAAGTCAAGTAGTGTGTGCTAAGATTATAAATAATACTTCCTGGGTGCAATGTCACAACTCCTTGTTTTTCTACTGGAGAAATTTTCTAACCTCACATTTAAGTGCAGTCTATTTTCTAAGTTCCATCAAGTGCTCAAAGTCAGGCCCTGTTTTCATTTGTATCTTACTGCAATAGTTCCCTTTTTTGTATTGCTTTTTTATTTTCTTAGAGTTTCTAACTGCCTCCCCCTTCCTCATCATTGGCAAAAATATTCCTTCATTATATATTCAGGTTTTCCTATCTTTCCAAACACATTTTCATGGCGTCCTCCTCCAAACCCAAGCTCCCCGCCCCGGGTCCCTTCATCTTCCTGTTTCATTCTGGATCCGTTGCTCTCCAGGTCTGGGCTTATCCTGGGACTTAATTTTACCACATCTCCAGGATTGGATCTACTGTTTTCTATAGCCTGGGTCTTTTTCTTTCTCACCCATTTTAGGGAACTACATCCTTGCGTATTTTCCTCAGAAAGGGTGCAAAAGGAGGTAATTTGTGCTTACCTAAATGTAAATTTAGTCTTTCACTTTATTCATCCTTTGGGTATGGAAATATAAAGTAACTTCATGTCCTTGATGATATTACTTCATTGTCTTCTAGCCTACAGTGTTGATGAGAAATAGGATGCTGGTCTAATTCTCTTTTCTTTGTAGGTGACGTTTTGTTCCTCTGGAAATTTTGGAATTTTTTTCTTTGATATTTTGGAATTTAACTAGAATGTGCTTAAGCGTGGGCTTTTTAATTGCCTCAGTACTTGGTTGATCCTTACAATCTGGAGACTAGTTTGGAGAAATTTTCTTCCATTAATTTCTTCCATGATTTCCTTTTTCCTGTTATCTTTGTTTTCTCTTTCTTGGACTCCTCTTAACCAGATTTTGGATTTCTTGGATTGTACCTCTTTCTCTTTTCTTTTTTTTCCTTTCTAGGTCTTTTTTGCTTTATATTCTGGGAAATTTCCTTAACTTTCTCAGTCAGCCTCTCTTTCGGCTTTGTAATTTCTGTAACCGTGTTTTTAGTCTCTAAGAGCTCTTTTTTCCCTTGTCTCCTTTATCATAGTATCCTGTTGTTTTATAAATGTAATAATCTCAGATATCTAGATATACTAATTTTAGGGTGTTTTAAGTTCTCTTTTCCCTAATTAATATATTTCCTCTGGGGCCAGTTTCTCTTTTTAATAGTCTTTAATGCTCCTAATTCTCTTCATGTTGGGTCATTCTTGGTTGTCTGTTTATATTTAAGAATGAAACTGGTTTTGTGTGTGTGTGTGTGTTTTAATTGAGTAAATAGATCTATTTCTACTAAGCCTTCCCTTTAAGTAGGAAGACTGATCACTAAATGGGGTGGGGCATGCTTTGTTTTAGAGCAGAGATTCCCAAACTTTTTTTGTTCATAGCATCCTTAGTGTCTCAGTAATTTTTTTCTTGGTACCTCTGGTCCTAAAGAAATATCTCATAGTTAGGTTCAAACTACTGCTTAATAGTATTAGATAGCTTGGTATCTGAAAGATGTTGCTGTGTTGTTTCCATCGAATATAAAATATTATACACGCATCCCTGAGTTTGATGTGATCCTCCAGGTGCTTTGACACATAGTTTGGGGACCATGATTCGGGGTGAATGGGTTAAGAGCTCACAGGCTACAGATTCCTCAAATACCAGAGTGAGGATTTTTTTTTTTAATCTTTTTTTTTTTTTTAAGATTTTATTTATTTATTTGAGAGAGAGAATGAGATAGAGAGAGCACAAGAGGGAGGAGGGTCAGAGGGAGAGGCAGACTCCCTGCCGAGCAGGGAGCCCGATGCGGGACTCGATCCCGGGACTCCAGGATCATGACCTGAGCCGAAGGCAGTCGCTTAACCAACTGAGCCACCCAGGCGCCCCGTGAGGATTGTTTTGTCTGGGGTGTCAATACCTGCACTGAAGTCTTAGCTTTTCCTGATATATTTGTCCTCTCCTTCCTAGAAGAGCCTCGGAATCTCTATGCCTGAGTTATCTGTACTCTGGCTATCTGTATTCTGTGTTCATACATCGTGGAAGAGGCCATTAGGGGAACATGTTTCCCCATTTTCAGCCTCACTTTTGCCTTTTGTTTCTTCTGAGACCCCTCCCCTCAACCCACACAGGCTTCTGAAGGGCAGATGGGCGTCAGCCTCCATCCTAGACCTTCATGATATATTCTGGCTTCTGCTGCTTTTTTCTATTCATTTTATTTTCTAACTTCCACATCCACCGAATTCTCTCATCAGGTGATAAGCCCACCCTTACTTTCTGCTGTTGTGGGCTTAATCCTTTCTGTACTTTTAATCTTTTAGTGTCATTTGGGGATGGTGCCATCAGGAACTGGAAACTATATTGTCCCATTTATTTCTCACAGTAACCCAATAAAGTGGTCACTACTAATATCCTCTTTATATCTGAGTTAAGTGAGGGACTCAAACCCAAGTCTCTCCACCACCAAAGCATGTGCTGTTTTTACTGTCTGTTGGGAAGACATGTCAAGCACACTGGTTCAAGACGTCATTGAAATTACTTGATTTTTTAAAAGATTAAAAATTTTTAACTACCAAAAAAAAAAAATTTTTTTTCTTTAACTACCAAGAAAACTTGTCAGGATTGGCCAGGAATATAAAAAAGTATTTATCGGCCTCTGCCTAGGGCTTTTCTTATTCATTGGACCATCTTGAACAATGATTATTAAACTTAAAAAGATGTATAATTCATCTTTTAAATGAAATCTTATGCAGAAATCCCTAATATATGATGCTGCTCTAGTTGAAGGTAGGTGAGGATGCCCAGGGTTTACTCATCAGCTCTCTCTGGTGGCCCCGAAGACACTTCTCCATTGAGCATAGTTTTGAAAACCTTTGAAGTAAGGCTGCAAACCATTTGGCTAATGGGGAAAAAAAATTGTTTAGTTTAAGAATGGTTTGATACCAAAATAAGATTAAATATAAATTATTCTAAAAATTACTTGGGTAGGTAAAATTTTTACTCTTGTTCTCCATTTTGTAGTTGCATAGAAGTATCATTGCAGTTGTATTGAGATCCTCCATAGTACTGTTTTCTAACCGAGGAAGTAAGCAAAAATCACTGTGCTGACCTACAGGTAATTCAGTTAGTTCAACTATCACAAATTGCAAAAATGGTTCACAGTGAAAGGTCACGTGTACATGCTGTCCCATCTAGCCACTGTTAACCCTCTTGGGAATAGAGTACTAGAGATACTACTGTTATTAGTTTGTTATGTACTAATGCAAATTTGAATATAAATATCCTTCTATTCTTTTTTTTTTTTTTTTATCCTTAGTCTTAAGTTTTATTTTAAGGGATCATCTTCATTTTCTTCTGTAACCAGCTTAGCCACCCATTTGGTCAGATTTATTTATTCTTCAGCAGTTGAAGCATTTAAGATGACACTTTTTACTTTAAATCCTTAATGATATTATATATACTATACTTGAGAATGTTTTGCTTTCTCGTGGAGAAAAAAAGCCCAAACATAAACCTTTAGATTATCCATATACTAGTCCTGCAGCACAATCTTAATAAGAAAGTTTTACTGATAACTGGACAATTTATTCATTATGGCAGGGATATAACAAGAGTGGTTGTAAAGTGGCCAGTCTTATAAGTCAGGAGCTATGATCCTTGATCCACTGCTCAATCCACTTCAATATCTGATTGATATTATCCTCTAGATCTTCTGGTTTATTGCTGGGCAGTTGATGTACTATTTCTTCCTTATAGGATGCTAATGCTTCTTCATAAAGAACTTGAAAAATTTCACACTGAATATTTTCTTTTAGTTTCTTTTCATTATAACCCCTTGTTTCAAGTCTTTTGTACAATACACTGTTATCTGCTTGCAGCACAAAAACTATATGAAACCAGCGTTCAGGAAAGAAATCACAACCATGGTAATCAACAATAACTCCACCTTCGCTCATTTGGTTTTCTAATTCATCAACTACTCTGTCTTCATCTAAAATGGGGCATTCATACTCTTCATCATAGCCATCATACAACTGCCCTTCTCGAGCTAAATCACCCACATTAATGTATTTCAGTCCTGATCTTGATGCAAGTTCTTTGCCTAGCGTGGTTTTTCCAACCCCTGGTGTACCTGACCGGTGAGCAGGATGTTCGGAAGCAACATGGTCCTCACCGCGCTGGCTCCGGGCGTCCAGTCCTTCTATTCTTTTACACAATGGATAAGTTGGCTCTATTTCATAGAAATTGAACAAAAGGAGTATTCTGAGTTTTGTGCAAAATCAATAAAACATTCAGTTTTACACATATGTAATATTTGCTTTTCTTTTAACAGGAAAAAATTAAAGAGTACATCCAAATATATTTATCAAACGTTATTTTTGAATGGTGAAAATAGTGACATTAAGATTTGTGCTCTAGGAGAAGAGTGGAACTTACACAAAATATATTTATGTCAAGTAAGTATTTTATTTTTCTATTTGACTAAAGAAGGTAATTACTTAAAAATAGCTCATACTCTTTCAAGTCATGTTCTTTCTAATTGCATTTCACAGCAATCTCTTTACAGTAATTTAAGTCCTATCATCTCGTTCCAAAGTCTTGTTTCATCAGAAATACGGCACACACTTAGTTTGGTCTAGAAAACAGATTTTGAATTTTCCTTGTCATACCAGCCCAGCAAATACCTTTTTGTCATTACTTCAGTAAGGTTCTTATTTTGGTGCCTTTCGCTGATAAAAGGGAAAAAAGTTAGGGGAAAAATGTCTAAAGTTAAGATTGCTGAATTTGTTTATTTTGTATATAATTATTTAAGTTGGATGCATTTAGCCAAAATGTGATTCTGTAGATATGATGGATTGAAAGTGAATGGAAAATTCTTGACACTTACTCTTCTTTCCTTCTGGAAAATGCTGTTAAATTAAAGACAAAACCCAGCAAATACAGACTAATTCATTTAGCTGATAATACCTATTTGGGTTGTGTGCTGAAAATATTACCATCTGCCACCCCATTTTAAAGATTCAAAACTCTCAAAATGAAAGAAAATGTTGCTCTAATGGCTCAAATATTTTATTCATTTATTCTTTCATCAAATCTATCTATTCTTTCTTCAAATCATTGTTCTAGGCACTGGGAATAGAACAGTGAACAATTCAGTTTCTATCCTATGGAGTTTATATTTTCTCTCTTCTTCACTGTTTGACAATAATTACTGGTAAGACAGTATAGTATAAGATTTCAGTAGAAATATTAAAAAAAAACTTTTTCTATAACATTTTAATCATAATGTTTTTTATTTAATTTTTTTGAACAAGGTACTTTGGCTTGAAGTTTATAGCTCAGGGAATATATCAGAATATTGGTCTCAACTTGAGGATAGGGTCCATACCTTTTTTTTAATCACTGAAAGCAGTTTTGTGAATTTAAGGATGAGAATGCCTCAGTGAAGGCTTTCCCTCTCAAGAGAAACTGTATTGATTATAGTGCAAGCCACATGCTAAAATATAGTAAGCCTCCTAAGGACAGAAACCGTGTTTTGTTTACTGCTCTATTCACAGTGCCTTATGCATACTAAGTATTCATTGAAATTAGTTAATATTTGATCTAGTCCAAAGTAATTCTAATTATGAGAGGTACTATCTAGAAGGTAACTAAAGACTTCATCCATTTTGGTACCTTACCAAGAATTTAGGTCCATTCTGGAATTTTCTGATTAGTTAAAACTAAACTTTAGATTTATCCTAATTTCTGGGGATCATCCCATTTACAGCCACTAACACAGTAAGGATTCAACAGTAGGAAAGTTCTTAGTCTTCACTCCTCCTCAGTACATGATTATGTATTCACCTTGTGTCTTGTCATATGTTTATGAGAGTCTTAAATACATGATATGTTTTCTAAGCTTGAATTTAAAATGTCATTGAGAAGGAAAACAAATACCTGTAATAGACTCAGAAATTATTTTAACTAAGTAAAAAATTAATGTAAGTTTCAAATAGTAATATAGGAATTCAGTTCAGATAGTAATATGAGAATTTGGTTTGGTTTTCATTAAATTAATCCTAAACAAAGTATTTTGACATACCTCAAGTGTCCTTAATCTCATTTTCCTGTAGACATATTTAGCAACTCTTTTTCTCCTGAAATAATATGGATTCATTTTGATAGAAGAGTTGCTTGGAATTAGAAATGGGAAAATAATTTGGAAGGCACAGAAGGTACTAGATAATTGTTTTTGTTTTGTTTTGTTTTTTAAGTCTGGCTACTTTTCTAGTATGTTCAGTGGTTCTTGGAAAGAATCCAGCATGAATATTATTGAACTGGAGATTCCGGACCAGAATATTGATATAGAAGGTAACCACCACCATGTTTACTATTATGCAAAAAGTATAACATAACCTTTTTATTCTTTTGGTAGAAAATAAATATTTTCGGGCGCCTGGGTGGCTCAGTTGGTTAAGTGACTGCCTTCGGCTCAGGTCATGATCCCGGAGTCCTGGGATCGAGTCCCACATCGGGCTCCCAGCTCAGCGGGGAGCCTGCTTCTCCCTCTGACCCTATCCCCTCTCATGCTGTTTCTCTCTCTCTCTCTCTCAAATAAATAAATAAATAAAATCTTTAAAAAAAATAAAAAGAAAAGAAAAAAGAAAAAAAAGAAAAGAAATATTTTCTTCCAACCTTGTAGGCTAGGAAAAAAGCTCCATTTAACACCCTAGAGTGTCAACTTTGTATTGATTTGCCCCATAGTTTTTATCAATTCTGTTCTATCTGTCCCTAATCTACTTAGTAGAGCTGATAAATAGTGTTTATTGATTATTCCCCATGTATGAAGACTTTCTCTGGGAACAGTAGGGTATGAATCATGTAATCAGTGTTTTAGAGCTCTGAGTTCTTAGATGAGGAAGCTGAAGCCCAGAGGCTTTAGGGACTTATTTTAGGGTCTCAGCACTTTAGTGAGCCTCAATCAGCCTATAGTTCTCCTAATTCCTGTTCCAGTGCTCATCCTCTGCTCCCCTCTTTGATTGCCCAAGTGTAAGTACCCAGTACTCACAACACAGGCAAAGAGAAAAGTTAAGGATGTTTATAAACACCCACAAGAGTGGCAGTGCAGAGAAGGAAGGACAGGCCTAGATAGCTGTGGTGGTTGGGGGAGAGTGTGGCATGAAGAGGACCAGGAGCTATTCCCCACTCCCCAGGAATGAAGCACTGAAAGCACGAGGGTTAAGATTATCATTGGGGTATGTGTACTTAATGATTGGTCTATTCAGGGTATCTTTATAAAACTTTTTCCAAGGGTATCTTATTTCTGACCACCAACTAATGTCAAGATTAGATGCAGAAGAATCCAGCTCTGTTAGGTTGAATAAATGGAAATTTGTAACATTATTATTAAATTAGCACCATTAATCAGTAACCATTATTAGCATTTTAATTAGTGATACTCTCTTATCCTTTTATGTACATCCTAAATTTAGACATATATCTTAGAGTATAAAGACAGTCGTCATTATTTTTGTAATACTTTCATAGATATCACTGTTACTTCATTCCCTGGGTCTATTTTTGCTTTCAGCACTGCAGGTTGCATTTGGGTCACTGTATCGAGATGATGTCTTAATAAAGCCCAGTCGAGTTATTGCCATTTTGGCAGCAGCTTGTATGTTACAGTTGGTGAGTATGCACATTATTCAGACGAGATTGGGTGCGCTCAGGGTGGGATGGCCGTAGACGAGTATGCACATTATTCAAAGAAAGGATCACAGTTGGATCTTTGTTTCAAAGTATTTATCCTAAAAACAAAAATAAAGCTTAGCTTTTTACAATTTTTAAAATAAAAATGAAATGTGTAAATATGTCATTTGTGATAAGTCATTTAAGAAGCTTAACCAAAAAAAATACTACTAATAAAATGCTTAATGAAAACCAATTTATTGGGGTGCCTGGGTGGCTCAGTTGGTTAGGCGACTGCCTTCAGCTCAGGTCATGATCCCAGGGTCCTGGGATCCAGCCCCGCATCGGGCTCCCTGCTCGGCGGGAAGCCTGCTTCTCCCTCTCCCACTCCCCCTGCTTGTGTTCCCTCTCTCGCTGTCTCTCTCTCTGTCAAATAAATAAATAAAATCTTAACAAAAAAAAAAAGAAAACCAATTTATTATAGCTGAGGGGGTCATCATGTCTGTGTAAGATGAATGCAAGCTATTTCAGTGTAGATACCTTAGAATTACTATAATGTGGTAAGAATTGACTAATTGTCTAAGTCCATTTACAGATTTCTATTCATTAGTGATTTATCTTGACTGTTATTAAGCAGATCACTTATGATTACTAATTCATTTAGGTCATGGGTTTGAAAAACATTGAGTGCTTACTTTGTCAACTTTTCCTTGATTATGAAATAATTGTGGTAAACCACATAAATATATATATAATCCATTGGTAGAACGACAGATTTGTTCTTTCAACAGAAATATATTGAGCAGGGGCGCCTGGGTGGCTCAGTCGTTAAGCGTCTACCTTCAGCTTAGGTCATGATCCCAGGGTCCTGGGATCAAGCCCCATATCGGGCTCCCTGCTCGGCGGGAAGCCTGCTTCTCCCTTTCCCACTCCCCCTGCTTGTGTTCCTGCTCTCGCTATCTCTCTCTCTGTCAAATAAATAAATAAAATCTTAAAAATATATATATATATATTGAGCAATGTGTCAACCTAGGCATAGGAATCCAAAGGTAAATTAAGACATAGTCCCAACCTTCATGGAACTCACAATGTAATGTGTGTGTGGAATGGGGGCAGGAGGGTTGATAAACAGACCCAGAGACAGAGTAAGAACTATCCAGTATTATAGGTATGATAATAAACATCCTGTAGGATTTAGCAGATGAACAGAGGGAGCGGTCAGTTCTACTTGGTGGTGCAAAGAAGGAAATTGAGTCTTGAAAACTGAAAATCTATTTATCTTGCAAAGAAAGAAGAGGGGAAGGAAGCATTTTATACAGAGTAAATTAATACCCAGAGATGTGAAACAGTGGAGGATCAGAGAATCTGAGTGGAACATGGCTCTAGCACAGACATAAGAAGCACATATAAGAAGCTCTAGCACAATCAAGGAAGGGTTGTTGAGAAGGCAGCAGAGGCCAGATTATGAAAATCCCTCTATACCTTTTAAGAAGTTTAGACTTTATATGTAGGTACTTTGGGAAGATTTTTTTTTTAATTATTTTACTTATTTGAGAGAGAGAGCTTGCATATGAGTGGGAGATGAGGCAGAGGGAGAGAATCCTCAAGCAGACTCCCTTCTGAGTGCGGAGCCCCACGTGGGGCTTGATCCCATGACCCAGGAGACCGTGACCTGAACGGAAACCTAGAGTTGGACTCCCAACCGACAGAGCCACCCATGTGCCCCCTTTTGGAAGCTTTTAATCAAAGAAAAGGCAGTTGTGTTTTAGAAAGAATACTTCAGAAATAATGTGAAGGATGTACTGAAGAAAAGATGAGTACATTCGAGACAAAATCTTACTGCAGTAGCCCAAGTGAGGGTTTAAAGTAGGGTAGTAGCAATAAGCATGGAGAGGAAAAACTGGATCACAGAAAGATTAATCAGGGATAATCCACTGGACTTAGTGACAGACAAGATGTTAAGAGGAACTCGGAGGGGCGCCTGGGTGGCTCAGTCGTTAAGCGTCTGCCTTCGGCTCAGGTCATGATCCCAGGGTCCTGGGATCGAGCCCCGCATCGGGCTCCCTGCTCCGCGGGAAGCCTGCTTCTCCCTCTCCTATTCCCCCTGCTTGTATTCCCTCTCTCGCTGTGTCTCTCTCTGTCAAATAAATAAATAAAATCTTTAAAAAAAAAAAGAGGAACTCGGAAGGGGCTGGGTGAGGGGGTAGTCTCAAATGACTTTCAGGTAAGTTTAAAATCCTAATGGGGCATTTTATTTTGATCTTTATAAAAAGTTAAGTTTCCTTTTCTGTGATATTTGCATACTTATTTATTTGAAGTATTAGTAAATAGCTTGCTCAATATATTTAGCTGAGATCACTTGATTTTTTATATGTTGTCATCCTTTCAATACTTACTTTCAACAAGTGCACTTTATTTTCTAACTTTAGTCCTTTTGGTTTTGTCCTAAATCCATTTTCTGCATTATCTTTATGATTTAACTAACTAACTTAATAATATACTTGCATGATGAATATATTTCAGAAATTTAGGTAAAAAGTGACATTCTTTCCATATATTGAATAAAATTAGTTCATTTGAAATCTTACATATAAACATTTTAGATTAATACTTCAATGTAAATGTATTTGTTTTAGGTGCATCTCTTAGAAATTGATGTGTTTTATACTTTAATAAACATTTTCTGATGAGTCATACTGTTTACTTGCCTAGCTCCATCACATGGTTGACTGAGCATGTTAAATAAAATTTAAAAAGAACAGACAAACCAGATATAATGCTGCTTAATTTTGCAAGGTCCCAGAGAGAGGAAGAATAAAAAAGAGAATAGTAGTATTCATCTCTACTTTACTGCCTTACTGCTTTTATCCCCTACATTCTGTTTTCAGTTCCAAGTATTTAGTTGAATACTTGCTGGATTTTTTTTTTTCAGTATTTTTACTGGACTTAAAAATTTAGGCTTTCTGCACTTAAATGAGTTCTCTTTCTTTTCTTTCTTCCTTTTTTTTTTTTTTTTACTTTTTAATATGTACAAGCACATATTCAGAGCTAATTTTTCCCACGTGAAATGGGCCTTTCCAGTGCTTATTTATATTTACAGGATGGTTTAATACAGCAGTGTGGTGAGACAATGAAGGAAACAATTAATGTGAAAACTGTATGTGGCTATTACACATCAGCAGGGACCTATGGATTAGATTCTGTAAAGAAAAAGTGAGTTACCTTTTTTATTTTTCCTCCCATCCCACTTGTGGGAATTTGGCTGCTTTGGTTTCTTAAGAGAATGTATAGCTATAAGAAAGAAAGAAAAAAGATAAAGGACTAGAATTTTGTTATAAAAAGTCCTTTTTTACATTTGGATGAATTAGTAAATTCCTTGAAAGTGTTGTCTTTGTAAGTGACCATGGGTAGGTTATACATGTTTATAAGTGGCTTATAAAAACTCTGGTCACTCTTTATAGTGCGTTTTCTATTAATATTTTTTAAATAGTAGGCATCATAGACATTATATCAGTACACCTACTGGCAATGTTTTTAACTCCTGAGAATTGCAGTACCCATTTTCAAATTATAAAAAAGGTAATAGAAGTGTGCAAGCCCCTTCATAAATGATGTAACACCAACTTGAAATGATGTTTCCTTAAGTAGAAATGCTGTTATTAATATAAGGTAGTATTTCCTTAATAACTGCTGACAAAAACAATACTAAATTTTTGGTCGTTAAATTTAAAAATTTGAGCATGTTCTGGCAAGACTAATCGTTTTTATTTTAACTGTAAGTCCTACCAAATCAGTCATAAATACATGATATATTATTTATGTATCATGTAAAAAATAATTCCATGTTTTAATTTCAGGTGCCTTGAATGGCTTCTGAACAATTTGATGACTCACCAGAATGTTGAACTTTTTAAGGAACTCAGGTATTTTAATTTTAAATAACTTTATAATTAATCATCCTAAAATAATGTTTATTTGTTCAAGTATGCATTTGCTTTATACAAAAATATATTACTTATGAAAAGTGAATAATTTAATGAAAGGTATCTTGACATCTATGAACTGAAGAAATGCTTCATAGATTTCTTTGTCATAAATAATATGTATGTCTACTATTTTAACCAATTTTAATAGAAAAATTCATTGTTACTATAAAACTATAGAAAAATAAGTGTTACCTCACTTTTGCTGGGCTCTTAGAGAATCTAAAAATTTATTTAAAAACCATCTTTACCATTGCAAAATTAAGTTTTAAAGAGTTTAAGTAATCACACCCTACATGGGGCTTGAACTCGCAATCCTGAGATCAAGTCGCATGCTCCAACTGAGCCAGCCAGGCACCCCAGCAAAATTAAGTTTAAGGAAGTTGTTTTAAACTTTTTGGTAGGCCTGATGAAGTTAAATTCAACATTCAGGAGATGAACCATGAGAGACTATGGACTCTGAAAAACAAACTGAGGGTTCTAGAGGGGAGGGGGGTGGGGGAATGGGTTAGCCTGGTGATGGGTATTTTTTTTTTTTTTAAGATTTTATTTATTTTATTTATTTGAGACAGAGAGAATGAGAGACAGAGAGCATGAGAGGGAGGAGGGTCAGAGGGAGAAGCAGACTCCCTGCCGAGCAGAGAGCCCGATGCGGGACTCGATCCCGGGACTCCAGGATCATGACCTGAGCCGAAGGCAGTCGCTTAACCAACTGAGCCACCCAGGCGCCCCAAGCCTGGTGATGGGTATTAAAAGGGGCATGTTCTGCATGGAGCACTGGGTATTATATGCAAACAATGAATCATGGAACACTACATCAAAAACAAATGATGTAATGTATGGTGATTAACATAATAAAAAAATCTAAAAAAAAAAAATAAAAGAATAGCATCTATTATTATTCCTTCTTGCCTTCCTTCTTCCCTTCCTTCCTGCCTGCCTTACTTCAACAAACACTTCCTGAATGTCCACTATATATGAAGGCTGTGAAGGATGCAGAGATGATTATGTCATGGTTTCTGCCCTCAAAGAGATCATTCCTGTGATGTCAATTTTACTGGGTTTTTTTGTTTGTTTGTTTTTTACAAGTATGGGTGGGGAAGTGATGGGGAAAAAGATAAACATTTTTGTTTAAATACAATGTGGAATAGAGAGAATTCAAGTTTCTTTGAGCTTTAAAGATGAAATACAAGAAGTAGTAGGAATGTTATTTTTATGGCTAGACTATCTCCTGGATTCCTGGGTCCTGTCCTTTCCTCTGCCCTTAGGATGTACTTTGGTAGAAAAGTTTGAGAAGCATTTTTCTACCAAAAAAATCATTACGTAAAGATGTCAAGGTATAAACAAAGCTCTGCATTATGTTTGGTTTGAAAATCATCAGGGTGCCTAAGTGGTCAGGCAGTTAAGCATCTGCCTTCGGCTCAGGTCATGATCCCAGGGTCCTGGAATCAAGCTCCGCATCCGGCTTCTTGCTCAGCAGGGAGCCTGCTCCTCCCTCTCCCTCTCTGCCTGCCACTCCCTCTGCTTGTTCTCTCCATCTCTCTCTCAAATAAATAAACTCTTAAAAAAGAAAGAAAATCATTAGAAACACTAATTTTTTTTCTTTTTTATAATTTCTCATTGAACTCTTTCAAAAAGAAGATAAATTGTAGTGGTCATCTTAAAAACCTAGATGTTCTTCTGGCTTTTTATGGCTTAAAGGAAGTGGGAAAAAACAACTGGTGATATAATTTCCACTCTAAATTTAAACTAATACATATTTCTTGATCTTACTCTTTAATAGTAATGAAAACATGTTTTATGACTAAGCAGTTAAGCATCAATGTTAAAGGTTACTTTGAAGATAAAGATGTTTCAGTGAATTTTGACAAGTGTCTTTTTTTTTTTTAAACAATGCTCAGGAAAGGCAAAACAGGAACACTGCCACTTTATCAGAGCATACTAAACGTTATCTAATTGAGACCTTGTTTTAACTTGATTAATCAGCAGATCAAAGCCTTGTTTTCCTGTCAGTTCAAATAAAGACCTTTCATAGTATACTATATGAATTAAAAGTATCCTTGTGTTCAGATAGGTTATTTCTGTCTAAGATTCTTTGTGTTGTGCAAAAAGACTGATGACATTTTCTTTTCATTAAAAAGACTTAAATTTTTAGTTTCACCAGGGTCTTTTAGCCTGTGCATGAGAATAAACTCACTACCTCTATTTTATCTTTTCTAGTATAAATGTCATGAAACAGCTCATTGGTTCATCTAACTTATTTGTGATGCAAGTGGAGATGGATGTATACACGGCTCTTAAAAAGGTATTGACATAATATATATGTAAGGGCATCACCTCAGCATTACTTATAATAGTGAAAAACTGGAAACAGCTAGTGTCTCGTGATTAAGGAATGGTGTAAATGAAAGAAATATGCCAAAATGTTAAAAAAAAAATCTTTATTTAGGGATTTGCTGTCATGAATGATTTTAATTTTATTCTTTATACTTGTCAACCTTGAAAGTATAATAGCCAGTTATTTTACCAGCAAAATGGATTTATTTGGGAATAGTAGAGCAATTGGAATTTGGTACATGTAAGCTATGACAAACCACAGGCAAGTCCAGACCTCAAAGGAGAGGAACATTACTTTATTGAAAAAAAGAGGAAGTTGGGAGTGGCTGCTTTGAATGAAACGAAAATCCATTGGAGGAAAGCTATAGAGTTCCTTGTTGACTGAGTTGTGGTATCTTCTTACTGGCTGAGCTTGTTGCTGGGCAAGAAGAAATTCTTCCTTTCTCCTACTAGAGTAGTAAAGTTGGCTTCTTCCTGTTGGGAATGCAAGGTTACCTCTCTGACTGTTAGGTCTGCAATTGACAATAAGTGGTGGGCCATGAGAGCTTGCATCCTATTTCCTTTCTTTGGTTTTACATACTTTTCTATCCTAGGAATATGTTTCTGATTTTTTTCCCAGATTTTTTTCAACAACAAGCATGCTATTGTTATGTCATTTACATAATCAGAAATGTTAAATATTTTATGTGGTTTTCAGAAATGTTTTCAAAGTTGAATTAATGACTTTATGATGAAATTTTCACTTTTTCTAGAAAATGGTGAAATTCTTTAAAGACCTTATTTGCACTTCAGGCATATGTTTCTTTTCATCCTTTTGAAAGGTTTTAACATCTTTAATGTAATTTTATTTTCACAACTCTGAAGAGACAAGTCAGCTATCATTCTTGTTCTGTAGATGATAGGACTTAGAACTCTTTACAGTTACTAAGTGGCAGACTTGAGGTAGAACCCAGGTTTGTGAGTCTTAGTCCATTGCTTTTCCCACTGAATAATTTTGCCCTTAGCCTTTTGTCCCCAGCAACAAAGTCTCCTTTAACCCAGCTTTGAAATCTGAGAATGAGATACCTTCTAAGTTATATCATTGCAATTGCTTATTGTGTGGTAGAGATGAGATTCTACTACTGTTTTTTTTTTTTTTCAAGGAGGTTTAGTAACTTGAGTTATGTAATCATTGAAGGAAGGGTAGACAGGCCATTTCTGTCTCTGAGCCAGTGGTAACGTTCATTGTTTCCTATTCTTGTAATTGCTTTTATGCTAGTAAGGGTAAGTGCTTACTGTGTGCCAGGCACTATTCAAAGTAAGTGACACATAATAACTTTTTTAGTGTCCTATGAGGCATCATGTTCATTTTGTAAATGAAGAAATTAAGGCCCAGAGAAATTAGGTAATTTGTCCACCTGTTAATTGGCAGGGCCAGGATTTAAAAGTCCATGCTCCTAACTACTCTGTATACTGTCTCAACAGTAATAAAACAGTAAGAAACTCCTTTTTCTCTTGTTTAATAAACTATTATTAAATAATCTATTAAATTGTTATTAAATAATTAAGATTATTTTTATAACCTTACACAATAATTAGCAAAATTGAGTTAGTTGATGAGTAGAATAAATTAGTGTAAAATTACTAATGTAATATATATATTAAACCTTTACCATTTTAATTGTGAAACTATACTGCGTTTGAGGCCATAAATACTTCTCAGGAATTCATTTTTTCTTTATCACACATTGTTTTAGTTTTTATCATTGGACCACGATTAAAGCCATGATGAGAGGGAGGGGAGGGGCAAAAGGAGAAGGAGTGAGGGAGAGAGAGAATCTTAAGCACGCTCCACGAAGCGAAGCGTGGAGCCCAATGCAGGGCTCAATCTCACAACCCTGAGATCATGACCTGAGCGGAAATCAAGAGTCAGACACTTAACTGACTGAGCCACCCAGGTGCCCCAAACCCATGATGAATTTAAAGCTTGTGAGCATGTTGGGGCACCTGGGTGGCTCAGTCATTAAACGTCTGCCTTCAGCTCAGGTCATGATCCCAGGGTCCTGGGATCGAGCCCCGCATTGGGCTCCCTGCTCAGCGGGAAGCCTGGTCTCCCTCCCCCACTCCCCCTGCTTGTGTTCCCTCTCTCGCTGTGTTTCTCTGTCGAATAAATAAATACTTTCAATGGCGTGTACTGGAAATCAAATTTTTTAAATATTATGTTTTAAGGTGGAAGCAGTTTGAATGTAAAATTGTAACATGATAAAATCTTACAGTTTTTTTTAATTTGCTTTTTTAACCTAGTGGATGTTCCTTCAACTTGTGCCTTCGTGGAATGGATCTTTAAAACAGCTTTTGACTGAAACAGATGTCTGGTTTTCTAAGAGGAGAAAAGGTATGCCTGAAATTTTTATTGAGAACTTGGTTTGGGCATCTTTTTAATTGAAATTTATTAAAATCAATTCCTAACTTATTTGTAGACCTAGAGAATTTTAGATCTGGTGAGGACCTTAAGCAGTTATCTAATTCAGCCCCTAATTTAAATTGAGAAAAGTAAAGCTGGATAAGAAAAATGCCTTGCCAAGTATTAACTGAATTATTACTCCTTGAACTAACACCATAGTTTGATCCCCCGAACTATTACCTTTCCCATTTTATCACCAACAGGTCTTGGTGATTACATTTGTCTTTTGTTTGACCACATTGAATTTCCTATAACACATTAACTCTGTCTATCAGGCAACAATTCTTAACATGGGGGGCCCATCTACAGGCTTCAGTGTGTCACCCCCAAAAGTGTATGCAGAACTTTATATGTATGCGTGTGTTGCATGCATTTTGCAAGGTGAGAACTTCAAACCTTTTGTCAGAGTCTCAGAGAAGACTCATCTAAAATTCATTAAGATCAACTGCTATTAAATTCTTTCTTATTGGGACAGAGGTGGAACATGCGATGTATTTATTTTTTACTTTGCTAGAACAGATAATAGGGAAAAATTCTGGGTGCAAAGAAGTGGATAAATCATTATCCTTAGTTCATGATTTTCTTAGTTCATGGTCATTTTTGGTCCATGCATGGCCACCATTTTTGCTTATTTTTAATTGTATATTGAACCCCCAGAAGTACTAGAACAGTAGTAACTTCAGTCTACTCCTGTGCTTCTCTCCTGTTGTGTATCTCTGACTTTTCCAACCACTATCTTGAATTTTGTGTTTGTTATTCCCTTAAAAAAAAGTTATTGCATGTCTTAATATACATAACATAATGGTGTGCTAGTAAGCTGGTCTCTGAAAAAATAATCCCTGATTTTCAGCGTTTTTAAAATTTCCATGATACAAATTCTCCCAGTGTGGTTGATTCCAGTCTACCAACATGACATCATTGCCACTGAATGCAGAGTTGAGAAGAAATGCACACCATCAGCTCCTATAAGCCAGTGCAAGCCATCTCCAGCACACCACTGGACAATACATCTTTGGATTTTAGTTGTTATTGAACTATTTCAATACATGTGTTGCAAAGCAATGGCTATAGTGTCTTTGTATCTTATTTTGTATTTTAATAGAGAATTAACATATTAACTAGTAGTGTTCACCACATACAGCTAAAGCATAAATTAGATGAATCCCAAGAAACAAATCCACATCCTTTGTATCTTATGAAGACCCTTGAGTTTGGCATTTGAGCTCTGGAGTTCCACTGGAGTGTTCAGTCTCTGGAGAGATACTGTAACCCTAACTACCATTCTCAAGCCTTCCTTTCCCAAACCTTGCTGCACTGGAAGCTCCAAACTCCAGAAACTAGGTGTACAACTGAATTCCCAGCCCAAAGTCCACTTGGAACCAAAATTAATTTCCTGAGGCTTCTTTCTAAGTCTCTCTAAGTATTTATCCATACTCCACAGGTTTTTATAATCTTTGAAAACTAGCTTATTTCTATTCTAATTGAATATATGTGTGTGTATATCTGTGTGTGTGTGTGTCTCCCTGCCCATAAAAACATTTAGGAATAAAATAAATAGATTTGAAAAGAATGCCTATTGAATTTAAACTGTTCTTTATAGATTTTGAAGGTATGACCTTCCTTGAAACTGAACAAGGAAAACCATTTGTGTCAGTATTCAGACATTTAAGGTTACAGTATATTATCAGTGATTTGGCCTCTGCAAGAATTATTGAACAAGATTCCCTAGTACCTTCAGGTAAGAGAACATGACGAAATTATGATTTTAAGTAACATCTTTCTGATTATTATAGTAATATATGTCCTAGAAAAGAATAAAAAGAGAATAGAAATTACCCTTAATCCCAACAAGATACACATTTTTGTACCAAAGTGAGATCATACTACATAGGTAATTTTCTGTGTTCACATTTTGTATTTAGTATTTTCCCCTATCATTAAGCACTATCCAGACTGTTTAAATGACTCTAGTTTTCTGTGATACAGTTTTGTTTTGTTAAGTATGAGGAAAAAGAAACTAATCCCATCATCTAGAATGAATATCTTGGTGAATTTCTTCTAGTCCTCTTTATTAATATATATACATTAAAATAAAAACGAAAGTATAATATGTACCCCAAGTTTATATATTAATATAGATGTTCTTTAATTTGATTAACTAGTATACTATTTTAGACCAGACTTTTATTTTTTATTTTTTGAATGGGCTATATGCAATTTATTAATATGCAAAACGAGTCTTATTCATTTTCTGAGATGCTTCACTAGGATTGTTTTGGACCCAACTTGACTTTCCCTTCTACTATGTTTTCTGGATTTTTTAGATCTAGACCAGACTTTTAAAAATGAGTTTTGAGGGCGCCTGGGTGGCTCAGTCGTTAAGTGTCTGCCTTCGGCTCAGGTTGTGGTCCCAGGGTCCTGGGATCGGGCCCCACATCAGGCTCCCCGCTCCGCGGGAAGCCTGCTTCTCCCTCTCCCACTCCCGCTGCTTGTGTTCCCTCTCTCGCTGTATCTCTCTCTGTCGAATAAATAAAATCCTTAAAAAAAAAAAAATGAGTTTTGAAGTATTAGAAGTATACTTATACTTCATTTGGTTGGGAATAAATAAACGCAGAAAAATAAATATGGTACTAAGCCAATTCTACTTATATTATTAGTAGATTTTTTAACTAAAATTTCAGTTTACATAGACCTGTGGAAAAAATGATATGCTTTATTAAAGGAAAAATACAATTATAACTTTTATTTCATTTAGAATAAATTAAAATCTCTTTTTAATATGTCACCTAAACCTAGTATGCAAAAATTACTGTTATTTTTTTAAAGATTTATTTATTTTAGAGAGAGAGAGATAACAAGCAGGAGGGACAGAGGGAGAGGCAGAGAAAATCTCAGGCAGATTTTGCACAGAGCGCCGAGGTGGGGCTCTGTCTCACAACCCTGAGATTACAGCCTGAACCGAAACCAAGAATTGGACTCTTAACCAACTGCGCCAACACAGACACCCCCAAAATTATTATTTTTTTTTTTAAGATTTTATTTATTTATTCATGAGAGACAGAGAGAGAGAGAGAGAAGCAGAGGGAGAAGCAGGCTCCCAAGGAGCAGGGAGCCCGATGCGGGACTCGATCCCAGGACACTGGGATCGTGACCTGAGCCAAAGGCAGACGCTTAACCATCTGAGCCACCCAGGCACCCCCTCAAAATTATTTTTTGAGCATGCATGATTTATCTGATAATTTATCTCCCATTAATTAGTTGTTATTTTTAGATAATTTAATAAAACAATTTATTCAGTTTTCTATAAAAGTTACATAAAAACTGAAAATATTACTTTAGGTATGTTTCTTACAAAAATTAATATGAGCTATGAAAAGGAAACTGTTAAATGCAAGAATCTACTTTTAACTAAAGGTTTAAATCCTAATTTAAATGCAAGTAATCTGGGGCGCCTGGGTGGCTCAGTGGGTTAAGCATCTGCCTTTTTGGCTCGGGTCATGATCCTGGGGTCCTGGGATCGAGCCCCACATTGGGCTCCCTGCCCAGTGAGGAGTCTGCTTCTCCCTCTCCCTCTGTTGCTCCCCCTGCTTGTACTCTCACTCTCTGTCAAATAAATAAATAAATAAAAATCTTTAAAAAAAATAATAAATGCATGTAATCTAAGTGGAGTCTATCCTAAAGCAAAGCATAATAATAGTGTTTACCACACTAAAAATCATTAGGCCATATTGTTATAGCATATTTGTAAAATATAAACTACCAGCTTTATTTGTTGCTATTTTAAACTTGAGTTTAGAAATGGTAACAATTTTATCAAGTTCTTAAAATTTTTAAATGCTTTATGTTCTTCAGTATTTATTATTCTTTTATGCTTATTTATTTTTATATTTTAGAATGGCTCTCTTCAGTGTACAAACAGCAGTGGCTTGCTATGCTCCGGGCAGAACAAGACAGTGAGGTGGGGTAAGTATGTTAGATCATAGCATTGTTCATAAAAAAGGAACAAACCAAAAACAGTGTAACTTCTGCTGTGAATTTTTAAATGCATTTATTATATTGAAAAATCAAGAAATGTTAAAGTAGAGAAACAGGATTATTAATCAACTTTTATTCTTATATTTCTGTAACATTATCAGTATTATTGGAATTATCAATTAATGGAATGTTTGGGTAGTAATTTGCTGTATTTGTAAAAATTGAGTAATTCATAAACTGTGTTTCACCTAGTGTTATATAATGATTTTCTTTCAACATACTGAAATATTACTTGGAATAATGCTTTCACAAAGCATGATTTTCATACTTATATATATAGGTAAAGCTGATTTTCTTATTTGTGGTAGTATTATGAAATTCTAATTCTTACTAATTAGCTAATAAGGGTTTTGAAGACCTTTGAGTCTGTAATGAATTAACATAATCCAGTTATAGATGCCTGACCCGGAAGCATATGACCCCCCAAAAAAATATTTCTGTGCTTTTTTCATTTGAAGGGAAAGCAGATTATCTATTCTTTTCGATGTGCTTTGCAGTTCACAGATGTACTTCCACATTATTATTTGATCTGTATACTGACTCCTTGGTATAGGCTGTGTGAGCAGACAATCCATCTGAGAGTGGATATGGAAGAGGCCTTAAGTTTGACTTTTTTTGCCCCTGATCTCTTAACCCATTCTTATCCACCACAGAACCTGCTAAAATATATGACCTAGTTATGTTTATATCCAAACAGTGACTATATGAAAGTGTTATACAAACTCATGGTAATGATTATGAGGTTATTATCCAGGATTCTTGGTTTCTACTTTATTTATAATTTATGTTCCATCTTTTTCCAAATATATTTACAGCATACTTATCCTACACAAATATAGTAAGATTGTTGAAATAGAAATAATAACAAATCAAAAACCAAAAAAAAAAAAGTTAATTATTTAATGGAATTCAGATTCAAAGCATTTTGTAATATATGAAATATTTTCAAACTCATCCTCATTCTTTTGTATATTCAGTTTTTAGATGTTAAGTGTTCTTATTTTTCAAGATTTTCCTCATCTGTATCTTTACTGAATTGAACATAGAATTTGACCTAAGAGACTGAGCTGCACTAAGTGGGTTTCCTCCCCTCAGAAGTGTATGTATGATCATAGCACCCCAACGAAGTGCTCTATTTCATAGACACTGAGCCTCTGCTCATTGCTGCAGGGCTACTAAAGTGAGGAAGACAGTGTATTTCCTGGATGTTAGGTTATAATCTATTAAAGTCTACCTCCAGGGATCTCCTCTTCCATGCTCTTCCACATTGCTGATGGAGTTATATTTCTGAAGCAGAAATAGAATTGTGTCACTTCTCTGCTTAAATATGTCCAGGGATTTGATGATGGGGACTATTGTTATTCTTTATGTGTGATATAAACGTTTTTTAAAATTCCTCATCCTTAAGAAATTCATACTGAATGATTTACAGATTAAAGGATATGCCTGGAGGATTAGCCTCAAAATGATCCGTCAGGAGGGTTATGGGGAGAAGTGGGCTTGGAGTAAAACTAAAACAAGATTATTAAAGCTAGGGGCGCCTGGGTGGCTCAGATGGTTAAGCGTCTGCCTTCGGCTCAGGTCATGATCTCAGGGTCCTGGGATCGAGTCCCGCATCGGGCTCCCTGCTCCTTGGGAGCCTGCTTCTCCCTCTGCCTCTCTCTCTCTGTCTCTGTCTCTCATGAATAAATAAATAAAATCTTTAAAAAAAAAAAAAATCTTAAAAAAAAAAAAAGATTATTAAAGCTAGATGATGAGAAAATTTGACTCATTAAATATTTTATCTACTTTTAGGTTTGAAATTTTTCATAATAAAAAATGTAAAAGTAACAGAACTTAGGCCTGAGAACTCTCTACTATCTACAGGAAAAGTTGAAACTCTTATTAGCATAGCCTGGGGGGCCCATCTACAGTCCATCCCAAATGTCTTTCACTTCATCTCCTCTCATGCTCATCTTAGGCTCTAGCTGTACTAAATTCTTCATACATTTGGTATTCATTTATGCTCCAGATTCTTTTACCTACTATACCTTCTACCTGGAATGCCCTTCACCTGCATAGAATCCACCCCTGACCTCTACCCCAACAAATTCTCACTCAGGCACAAATAATACCTCCTCTGTGATGATCTCTATCTAATCCCAGGCAGTAAATCTGCCTTTTTCATGCTCCTAACATCACAACTCTCTCCACATTATTGTAAATATTACTTATATGTATAGTTCTATACTGGGCTGAACTCTTGGGTGTCAAGGACATGTTTTATTAGTTTTATATACATTTACTTATTTTTTATATATTGTATTTCAGTATTTGAACTTGATGGTGAGGAGGTCCCCAGTCTAGGCACTTAATAAATGTTGTATGTAGTGAATATTTTGTATTACTTTTATCATTTGGAATTCCACACTAATAATAATGCATTTTTTGTTATCATAACTTGAAATAACGGTGTTTTTCTTAGTTGATTAAGGTTTTTAAAGTAGGGAGCCAAGTAAAGATCAATTGATAAAATTCTACAGCTGTTTCTATTAAATATTGAGTTTGCATGGTTATACTACATAAAAGATGGTTTAGAGGGGACCTGGGTGGCTCAGTTGGTTAAGTGTCTGCCTTCGGCTCAGGTCATGATCCCAGGATCCTGGGATCAAGCCCCACATTGGGCTCCCTGCTCAGCAGAGAGCCTGCTTCTCCCTCTCGCTCTGCCGCTCCCCCTCCCTGTGCTCTCCTGTTCTCTGTCTGTCAAATAAATAAATAAAATCTTTAAAAAAAAAAAAAAGATGGCTTGGATATGAAATAGTAATGTCCAATGGTAGATGATACCAAGTCACGTCTTAAATAGTAGATTTTAACTTATTTTCGTTAGTAGTTAAACTTTTAAGTGCTTTATTTTCTTGAGGAGTACAATTTCTCATAGACATTTTTTTCCTCTTCTCTGGTTTGGCTGAGACCTAATAAAAAGTATTCTAGAAGTCAGGGCAATAAGTGAAACATTAAATTTTATTTTATTTTATTATTATTTTTTTAACAGAGGCAATGGGCTAGATTTAATCAATGCATTCTTATTTTATCTATAACACAAAAAGGTATTTTTAAATCTATTAGCAAGTTTTTCTATTCTTCTAAACTTAACAGTTCTTTTTAAACTATTAGTTGCCTATTTTCTGTGAAATTTCACATCTTATGTGTATTTCTAGGCCTCAAGAAATCAATAAAGAAGAACTAGAGGGAAATAGCATGAGGTGTGGTAGAAAGCTTGCCAAAGATGGGGAAGTAAGTATGGGTTATGACTCTTAACATTCTCATGGAAATTGTTGTACTATTAGTGCAAAATACACTAAAGTAGAATACACTAGAAGAGCTTTTTTGGTAGTTTCTATAGCGTGATCTCCTGGACAAGGAGTTAGGTGCTCAGTTGTATTGCATGAGACTGTTGAACTTTTTGTGTCCAGCTAAGAGATATAAGAAGATCCCTCAGCAATCCAGAAATTAAGATAAATAAGAAATTATATGGGAGCTATTACGTAGTCTTAAAAGTGATTCTTTCTAATTTACAATTACCTTAAATCAAAGACATTTAAACCCTTTGATTGCTACCCACATTTAGACTTCTGTTTTTCATTACCGTCATATATAAATGTATGTCAGTGAAACAAAAGTATTATGAAACAATACTTACTGTTGCTGTGTCCAAAGGACCTATTTTCTATTTAATTTTTTTAAAAAGCTTATTGTGACTCATTAAATTGATTTTAATGGGACAAGAACTACAGTTTTTAAAATCCCACTCTAACTAATTGTAATTTTCATCTTAAAAAATAATTCAGCCTGGGGCACCTGGGTGGCTCAGTTGATTAAGCACTGGACTCTTGATTTCAGCTCAGGTCATGATCTCAGGGTTGTGAGATCGAACCCTGAGTCAGACTCCCACACTGGGCGTGGAGACTACTTAAGGTTCTTTCTCTCTCCTCTCCCTCAGCCCCTCCCCCCTCTAAAAAATAATAATAATTCAGCCTAATTTAGATAACCATTCAGTTACTTTTCTCCCAGATTTTCCCTCATTTCAACTTCTTTGTTTTTAGAAGTTAATTGTTTGCATTCGTAATTGTGATAAATGTTAGCAGCGTAGGAAAGGGGAATAGGTAGGTGTCCTCTGTATTCCTTAGTCTTCCTTGTTGCTGCTTCTATAACGTGTTCCCGCCTCACCTCTCATTGAACCACAGCTCCTTTGAAGCACATGCTTCTACTGCGCCACTCACGACCCTTATTGTAGCCATCCTTCACTGGGCCATCTGTATTTATCACTGTTCTTGTTATCAGTCTTGGTGATTTTAGTGTCTCTGTTCCCTGACCTTCCTCCCCACAGGGATCTTATGCTCTACCCTACCTCCGGCACCCATTTCCTGGAAGCATATCCCCAGTTTTTGCTTTACTAAATAACAGACCCCCTTCAAAGTCGCCATTTCAAGCAGACCATTTTCAGACTCCACTCCTGTTATCTTTCTAGCACTCTCTTTCTAGAACCTGGACTCCCAACAGTTTTTAAACTCCACCAGTGTAGAATACATTGTTCGTACTACTTTTTTCCCACTACCCTCTCACCATGTCCCTATAGCTTCTTTCTTTACTTGACTTATATGTTCCATCTTAAAATTGGTCCCTGGCTAATACTCTTAACTTCCCTTTTTACTCTGTCAAGCTCAGCTGGCTAAACTCCAATTCCTGTGAAATCCTGACTTGCTGTGCACTCCATGCCTGCTTCCAAACAGATGGATATGACTAAAGAAAAAGTGTACCCCACCAGGTGTCACTTGAATGTTTGTAACTGTAAACTTCAGACAAGTGCTGCATGCGATCCTCCTACATTTCCCTAGTGAATTCATCCTGCCACTCTTTGAGTACCTCTCAGACCTTCTTTAAAAGGGGCAGTGCTACCACCCTCATTCTTATCTGATGACCTTGTTTCTTTCATCACTCAGAAGATAAAAGCAATAGGAAGAGAATCTACACATCCTCCTACCAGACGGTTCTGCCAGTCTCACTGCAGCTGTAGCTGTGTGCTGTGCTTTTCCTCTTATTAGAATGGATCCATCCCCTCCCATCATAAAAAACTTCATCCCTGTTCAGAAGCTTTGCTCCTGCAGTCATCACCTCCCTGTCCTGCCTCATCAGTTTTTCTCTTGTACTGGGTCATTGGCATTGAGCATATAACATACCATACCACCACCCATCTGGAACCACACCCCGACCCCACATTCTTTAGCTACCACTCCCATTTCTGTGCATCTCTTTTAAGCAAAAAACTCATGGAAAAAGTTGCTCGTATTTGTCTATACTTCTTGTTCTCCGATGCTCTCTTGAATTCATTCCAGTTCATTTATCCCAGGAAACTCCAGTGAAACTGCCATGCTTTTGTCACCAGTGATTTCCACATCCCCAGGTCAGGTAGTTACTGTTTAGTCTTCCAGAAGTTCTTGGCGACGTGACACATCTGCACTCACTCTTTCTTAGAGATTTTCTGCATTTGACTTCCAGGACAGCATGTTCTGCTGGTTTTCTTCCCAACTCACTGGCTGTTCCTTCTAAGTCTTTGCCTAGATCCTTCTCTTTCTCCACAAGTGGACTTCTTACCTGTCGAAGCTCACTCCGAAGTGATCACATCTAGTTCCTTAGACTTCACACTGATGACCTCTAACTCCAGATTCATATATCCAGCTACTCACTTGACATCTTTTTTAGAATCCTAGTAGCATCTTGAATAAAATAGTCCCAAGCTGAACTCTTTATCATCCCCAAACTTTCTCCTTTCCAAGTAATTCTCTAACCCATAAATGGCCCCTCTGTTAATCTGTTGAATAAGCTCCAAACTTTGGATTCTTCTTTCTTAAATACACAGCTGGTGTTCATAAGGAATTCTTCCAGGCTGTCCTTGTGAAATCTATTCTTAGCATGTCTGCCACTACCACCCAAATCCAAGCCAGCATTATCTCTTGCCTGGGCTGTGGTAGTAGCCTCATAACTGCTGTGCCTATTTTCACTCTTGCTCTTCTACATGTTGTTTTCCGTACAACAGCCAAAGTCATCTTTTTAGAATGCAAGTTAGATCATGTTACTTCCTTTCCTAAAACTTGCCATCAGCTTCTTACTGCACTTAGAAGAAATGCATGCCCTTCCTTACTATGGACTCCTCAGCCCTACATTTTCTGACCCCTGACTGACTCTCTGAACTTACCACGGTCGCCTGTCCACCCACGTGACTGCCCTAGCCACATAGCCCTTCTTGCTGTTCCTCAGATAAGCCAAGCATGTTTTTATCTCCAGAGCTTTGTACTTGCTCTTCTCTTTGCCTAAGTCACTCTTTCCCCAGATAGTTACTGGTCTACTCCTTAGCTGACTCAGGGCCCGGCTCACCTAGTATCTCCTTGGAGAGACTTTCCCTGACCACCTATCTGAACCAGGAGGCTCCCCAGCTGAAGCCCCCTCTTTTCTATCCTGTCACTCTATCCTGACATTCTATTCTGTTTTGTTCTCTTCCATTCCATTCCACACAAACATATACACATACTAAAATACACACTCTACCAGGGCAGAAACTTACTGTTCTTCAATGCCTAGAACAGTATTTGGCACATAATATGTGCTCAATAAATAGCTGTGAGCTATTAAATTAATGTTGTAATTCAGAGTGTCAACCAAACACTTGAAGCCCTAACTTTCCTTCACTATACCATACCAGCTTGCTTAATAGTCCATTAACTATTAGGTGATAGCTCAAACAAACTTGTGAACCTCATGAGGGTATTTAAAATAATTCAGTTGTGGGGTGCCTCACTGACTCAGAAGAGCATGCAACTCTTGATCTCGGGGTCATGAGCCCCACGCTGGCTGTAGGGATTACTAAATAAACTTTAAAAAAATAAATAAATAGGGGCGCCTGGGCAGCTCAATTGGTTGAGTGGCTGCCTTTAGCTCGGGTCATGATCTCCAGGGTCTTGGGATCGAACCCCACTTTGGGCTCTCTGTCAAATAGATAAATAAATAAAATCTTCTAAAAATAAATAATAAATAAATAAAGTAACAATATGTATCAGTTGGTTAGTTATTTAAGGAATTTAGAGTATTTTTAAAGCAAGGTGGATTTTAATGGGTTCTTACTACCTCCATATAGCCTCCTGGCCCCCTAAGCTATACCTCCTTAGAGTTGCAGTGAAAAGCTATATTACTTATGATAGAATTACAGTGTGGAGAAATAACAAAACAAAAGAGATCATGAAGAGGTGATATTAGGAAAGTACCTTAAAGAATGATGATCATAAAGGCTGCTTTTCTGGTTTGAACTATATTATACCCATGTGGTAAACCTTTATATATATTCACAGATATATCATGTGTGGCAAGCCTTAAGGGGAAGGTACCCATAAGAGAGAAATATTTGGAATGAGTTAAAGGAAGAAAAGACATTTTGAACTTTTTATTTTTGACTTGCTGTGATAAACTGAAGTAGATCTTTCTCTTTTGTATTTCTTAGTACTGCTGGCGGTGGACAGGTTTTAACTTCGGCTTTGACCTGCTTGTAACTTATACCAATCGATACATCATTTTCAAACGCAATACACTGAATCAGCCGTGTAGTGGATCTGTCAGTTTACAACCTCGAAGGAGCATAGCGTTTAGGTAGGATGAAATTTCCCTTCCTCACTCCAGAAAAAATATAAGAAATAAAATAAAACCAATAATTTACACCTATAGTAGTAGAGTTTTGGTAAGAGACAGTATATATGAAAGTGCAAAGAACTATTAAGGTCCTATTCCTGTGAAATGTTAGTAATAATCAAAATCAAAAAGCCTGGATCTAGTATGTCAGAAAGAATAGGCTGGAATATGAATGATACAGGATTGATAATAGGCTTGAAACTGTTGCCTTGCTGCTGTTCTTGCAAATTAAAGGTCCAGAAAGGAAAGACGGTAAGGTATTTTTCTAGGAAAACATGTCTGGTATTGTCCTTCACTTTCTGTGGGATTTCATATATCCAACTTTGCCTGATAGTTGAGCTGGCTATCTTTCTTGAGAGGATACTGACAAATTGGAAAATAGCTTAATGAGTGGATTTTTTTAAGTCATATATTTATACTTACCTTACACCACATGCAAAAATGAACTCAAAATGGATCAAAGACCTAAACATAAGAGCTGAAACTATAAAACAACTCTTGGAAGAAAACATAGGGGAAAAGCTTCTTGACATTGGATTTGGCAATGATTTCTTCAATATGACACCAAAGCATAGGCAACAAAAGAAAAGAATAAATTTGACTTCATCAAAATTAAAAACTCTTGTGTATCAAAGGACAGAATCACAAGAGTAAAAAGACAACCCAGAGAATCGGAGAAAATATTTGCTAACCATGTATCTGATAAGGAACTAATATCCAGAATATCTAGAGAACTCCACAACAAAAACACAACCTCATCCAAACATGGGCAACAGACTTAAATAAACATTTCTCCAAAGAAGATATGCAGATGGCCAATAAGCATCTTTTCATGTTTGAAAAGATGCTCAACATCACTAATCATTAGAGAAACACAAATCAAAGTCACAGTGAGATACCACCTCAAACCCATTGGGATGGTTATTATCAAAAACAAAAAGTGTTGATGAGGATGTGGAGAAATTGGACCTTTGTGTATTGCTGATGGGAATGTAAAATGGTATATCCTTTATGGAAAATGAAATGGCGTTTCCTCAAAATATTAAACATATAATTACCATATGATCCAACAATTCCCCTTCTGGGTATTTACCCAAAAGAATTATAAGGAGGGACTGGCACAGATATTATTGGTACATTCATTTTCACAGCAGCACTATTCACAATGGCCAGAAGGTGGAAGCAACCTAAGTGTCCATCAATGGGTGTCCATGTAGATATTGTCCGTATCTACAATGGAATTTTATTCAGCCTTGAAACAGAAGGAAATTCTTACACATGCACCAACATGAACCTTGATGACATTATGTTAAGTGAAATAAGCCAGTCACAAAAGAACAGATACTGTATTATTCTGCTCATATGAGGTACCTCGAGTAGACAAGTTCATAGACAGAGAAATTAGAATGATGGTTGTCAAGGGCCGAGGTAGGGGAAATGGGGAATTCGTGTTCACTGGGTACAGAGTTTCAGATGGGAAGATGAAAAAGTTCTGGAGATGGATGACACTGATGATTGCAGAACAGTGTGAATATATTTAATGCTGAGAACTATACACTTAGAAGTGGTTAAAATAGTAAATTTTATGTATATTCTACCACAATAAAAAAGACATTTATGAATTATTTTATATCCCAGGTATGTATAATAGCATAAGCTTACATATCTCCAAGAGGTTCAGTTTAGAATTTGAAAAGACTTCTTAAAATCTTTTATCAAATAAAAGAATATGGAAGAGAAAAGTAAATATTAAAGTGAAGGAGGGCTTGTTTAAATTAATCTGTGGTTAAAAAATCATATGTTTAGGGGCACCTGGCTGGCTCAGTTAGTGGAGCATGCGACTCTTGATCTTGGGGTTGTGGGTTTGAGCCCCACGTTGGGTATAGAGATTACTTAAAAAAAAATGTTTATTTTTTTATTTGTGTTTTTTTTTTAATCCCAGATTACGTTTGGCCTCTTTTGATAGTAGTGGAAAACTAGTATGTAGTAGAACAACTGGCTATCAAATACTTACACTTGAAAAGGATCAGGTATGTTTGATTACTTTTCTGTTGTTTGGTTATAGTATTTGTCTTTTGAATCCTCTTGAAAATTCTTAAGTAGAATTAACATTTGATTTAAAGATTGGTTTAAAAGTTTTTTGAGGGCACCTGGGTGGCTCAGTCGGTTAAGCAGCTGCCTTCAGCTCTGGTCGTGATCCCAGGGTCCTGGGATCAAGTCCTGCATTGGGCTCCTTGCTCAGCGTTGAGCCTGCTTCTCCCTCTGCCCCTCTGTTCCCCCTGCTTATGCTTCCTCTCCCCCGCCCCTGTGTCAAATAAATAAAATCTTTTTAAAAAAAAGTTTTTTGAAGATAGAGATGGAAATACTGTGTTCACATATGCATAATTTACCCCCATTTTATTAGAAGTGTAACTAAGACCAAAAAAAAGGAAACAATTTGATTTGGGGGGCAGGGTCCCGGTCCTGGGATCGAGCCCCACGTCGGGCTCCCTGCTCGGCAGGAAGCCTGCTTCTCCCTCTCCCACTCCCCCTGCTTGTGTTCCTGCTCTCACTATCTCTCTATCTCTGTCAAATAAATAAACAAAATCTTGGGTGCCTGGGTTGCTCAGTTGGTTAAGCGACTGCCTTCGGCTCAGGTCATGATCCTGGAGTCCCTGGATCGAGTCCCGCATCAGGCTCCCTGCTCGGCAGGGAGTCTGCTTCTCCCTCTGGCCCTCCCCCCTCTCATGTGCTCTCTCTCATTCTCTCTCTCTCAAATAAATAAAATCTTTTAAAAAAATAAAATAAAATAATAAAATCTTAAAAAAAAAAATTAAAAAAAAAATAGCAAACACCTTGAAGATAATCCAGTATGTCTGCATAGCTCCTGAATATTAAGAGAACATTATCCTCTAGCGCAATAGATTTCTAAAGTAGCAAGCATCTCTTATGTTCCCAAACTCTAAAGCCATTTGTTTCTTCATATATCGCATGCAGAAGTTTCAAAATGTCATAAGAAAGTAAACCATTTTCAAAAAGTAACATGAGAGGTCCTAAAATGTTAATGAAGTTTAGGGGCACCTGGGTGGCTCACTCAGTTAAGCGCCTTCAGCTCAGGTCATGGTCCCGGGTCCTGGGATCAAGCCCGGCATCAGGCTCCCTGCCCAGCGTGGAGCCTGCTTCTCCTTCCCCCCTGCTGCTGTTCCGCCTGCTCATGTTCACTGGCACACACGCTCGCTCTCGTGCATGCTCTCTCTCTCTCTCAAATAAATAATCTTAAAAAAAAATACTAAGGAAGTTTACTTCTATTAAAACTAACCCCATTCCAAGGGACGTACTGTTTTTTAATAAAAAGTTCAGAGCCTGTAGTTCACATTAATTATTAGAAGCTAGCTGTTTTCTTCAACTGAAGAGCCTCATACAGAACATGAGAATTTAGCACTGCAAGGAACCTTGGAGTGATAGTTGTAACCTCACATAGTTCTGACCTCACATAGCCTGTATGAGAATTCCTTTAACAACATTTTGACAGAGGATCCTCCACTTGTTGCAATTCTAGCAACAGAGAGCAGACTCTCTCACACATGGTAGATAGTATTTGAGAAGGTAGATACATAATAAGAAAAGTTCAGATCTGCCTTCAATAGAACTTTGTTAGTCCCCCCCTGGCACCCTCTGGAGCTGCATGAACAATGGCTGTCTTTACTTTCTACCTGGAACTTCATAAAAAATACTGTCATGGCTCAAAGCAGCCAGAGATTCAAAAACACCAGGCCAATATAATAGTTGTATTTCAAGTGTTCCTTGAGTGTTCATTCAGCAAACATTTGAGTCCCTGCCATGTGCTAGGTTCTGTGCCACCCAGGTGCCCCCAATTTTTGTATAATTTATAACTATCTTTTTTTTTTAAAGAGCTGATTCAGTTTATTTATTTATTTATTTATTTTTAAAGATTTATTTATTCACTTGAGAGAGCGAGAATGAGAGAGAGAGAGAGAGTACATGAGAGGGGGGAGGGTCAGAGGGAGAAGCAGGCTCCCCGCCGAGCAGGGAGCCCGATGCGGGACTCGATCCCGGGACTCCAGGATCATGACCTGAGCCGAAGGCAGTTGCTTAACCAACTGAGCCACCCAGGTGCCCAGAGCTGATTCAGTTTAAATTTTTTTTTTAATATTTTATTTATTTGACAGCAAGACAGTGAACACAAGCAGGGGGAGTAGGAGAGGGAGAAGCAGGCTTCCCGCTGAGCAGGGAGCCCAACTCAGGGCTTGATCCCAGGACCCTGGGGTCGCCACCTGAGCTGAAGGCAGACGTTTAATGACTGAGCCACCCAGGTGCCCCTGTTTTATACCTATCTATCTTACAGGACTTTGCAGACTAGATTTGCATTCGGTGAAGGATCTCAGCAATGTGTAAGAAGGATTAGAGACATGGTAATAGGTGAAAGATGATTTAGAAGCTATTGTTATAATCCAGATAAAGGATGAAAACCTTAAGGAAGGTAGCAATGGGGATGAAGAAACGTTGATGGGTTCTAGAAATAAAGCAGTGCAGTTGGTAGAATTTGGTGCCTAATTGTGTGAAGATGAGAGAGTAGTTAAAGATAGTTCCTAGGGTTGCCTGGGTGGCTCATTCGGTTAAGCATCTGCCTTCGGCTCAGGTCGTGATCCCAGGGTCCCGGGATCGAGTCCCACATTAGACTCCTTGCTCAGTGGGGAGCCTCCTTCTCCCTCTGCCACTCCCCCTACTTGTGCTATCTCTCTTTCTCTGACAAATAAATAAATAAAACCTTTTTTAAAAATAGTTCCTAGTATTCTGACTTGGGCAACTTGATTTATAGTACTTATTCCTTTGATTTGAAGTATAGGAAGGAAAATGAACATGACAAACTGCAGGTGAAAAGATGATGAATTCAGTTTAAGCCATATTTAATTTGAGGGCATTGAGATGAAAGTGTGCTGGGTGGTGGATAAATGGATCTGGGGTTTACAAGCAATGCCTGGGCTAGAAATAATGACTGGATGAGATAGCCTCCAGGAAATGTGTAGAGAATCTAACAGGACAGAAACCTAGGGGACACTGGTATTTGAGGGATGAGCAAAAAAAGTAACCTGGTGAGACATTCAAGAGCTGGGATGGCGAGTCAAAGCCAAACTACAAGAGTGGAAGTATAGATGGCCTGTAAAGAAGAGGTAGTAGCCAGTAGCTGATGGTTTGAATTGGAGTTGCTTTATGTCTAAGTGAAGATTTCCACTAGAGAATTAGATGTATAGATCTTGGAATTTAGACCTAGATGAAGAATGTGGGGAAGTAATAGAGCTCTGCACAGAACAGGAGGGGAACCTCAGAGAAGCAGAGATTTGTAAATGAAGATGGAGAAAAACGGTCTGGAAGTAGAAATGGAAACCTAGGAGGATGCCGTCACTCTGTCTGATGCTGTGATATATGGGCTTCTCTGCTTCCACTTTGTGTGTGTGTGTGTTCCTTACCTTCCTTATCCAATTTACCTTGCTTTTCCCCCAATACAGAAGCTATGTCCAGTTAAGCCTACATCAGTCATTCAAACGTTCCAGTATGTTAGTCTCTCTTCATTGTAGGAGCATCTTCCTTAGTAAAAAATCAAAAACTTGAGGCTTAAATAGTGTTTAATAGTATGTTCTTCAAAATATATAAAATAAGGCAAAACCAATGTATATTACTGCAGAGAATATATCTAAGTATTCAGAAAGTAGAAGTTCCAGTGCTGCTCCTTTTCCTCTGAAGACTTACTCTGTTCACCAAATGCTGTTCATACAGGGTTCCAAATGGAGATCTGTAGAATGAGAGATGGTTACATTTGTGGCTCTCAGATATAGGATCAACTCTTGTCTCTGTGAGATTTCAAGGCATTCTCATGTGTGCTGATGTAACTGAGCCTGAAATTGATATTACATGATAATGTATTTTATATTCCAAGAGACAGTATGTTTGCATTAGAGATAGTGGAAAATCATAGACAAGAGTGGGAACGTGGGAACCATGCTTGTTAGTGCTAATAATGGCTTGCCACGTTCTTCCCATTTATTTGCTATACCTACAGGCCATCAGGAAATGAAGCCAAATTGCTATATTTTTCTTGACTATATCTGTTCATAAGATACGTAGGTAGTTGATAGAAATTTTTCAATAATGAAAATAACTACCATTACTGAGTACTTCATACATGGCTGGCTTTGCTGAGTCCTCTATGTGCATTGTGTCATTTAATCCTCACTATAATCATGTGAGGTGAGTACTTTTATTTATTTTACAGTAAGGAAGCTGCAGTTGACAAGTCATTGACTTGTCCAGCATCACAGCTAGTAGGTGGGAGTTTCAAGATTAGAACGGTGACTTTGAGACTTCAGATGCAAGCTCTTAACCACCATATGATCTCCTTCAGTATACTCAGTTCAACAGTATGGTTTTCTGTTTGTCTTGTCATTAAAGCTCCAAATTTGTTTTATAGGAACAAGTAGTGATGAACTTGGACAGCAGGCTTCTGATCTTCCCTTTATACATCTGCTGTAACTTCCTGTATATATCACCAGAAAAAAGAACTGAAAATAATCGTCATCCAGAAAATCCAGAAAACTGAGGATCTCATCAGTTGGAAACAACTGCAACTTCCTTACTTTGAAAACTTTTTCGGCCAGCTTTAATTTAATGGCCCTACTGATATTCACATCTAAGGTGACTAACAATGACAAAGGCCTTATGAACTGTACAGATAATACAGAAGACTATTCTTATGCTCATTACATTTCTATGCATACATAAAAAAAAAAAAAAAAAAAAACGTTTTAAAGCCAAGAAAATACCTGTCAAACCATTTCTGTTATAAAGATGTTGACTCGTGCTTTTAATTTTTAAGCATCAGAAGACAACCGCTGTAGGTAAATTTCACTTTGCAGCCTAATATAGATTTAATTTTAATTTAAACTTTGATCCTACCTATGTTAGTGAACGTCAGTTATCTATCTGTAAATTTATTTTTATTTGGCTAAAAGAACGCTAAAGGAACAATTTGAATGGCTAATTATAAATGCTCTTTCAGTTGGTGCATTTGAAGCTGTCCTTTAATTTTTTCAACTGCTCTTTATGATTCCTCCTCATACTCTGATATCCCTTCAAGCTGTCCTTGTTTTTAATCATTAAATACTTTTTTGTGGTTTTGGAGACTAAGCTGGGGAACTTTTTATTTAACATAAGCATTTTCATGCTATTTTATTTTGCTTTTAATTTAGCTGTCTTAGGATTTTTAACAAAATCAACTTTATACTTTCAAATGAACTTGAATGGGGGAGAAAATCAGTTTGAACCTGAGAATATTTCTTTGCCTTACATGGTCTTTTCTTTGACATTCTGTACTTTATTCTTAGGTCATGGATTATTTATGTACCAAATATTACACTTTAAACATTTTCATATTCTCTGATCTTCAGAATTATTTATGTTCAAATTTTGGTTGGGAATCCTAGTTCCTACTTAAGCTCAGGACCTTATAACCTCTGAATTGAGTGCCTTTGAGTTATACATGCTAACAGAAATTTCATAGTATATGTAAATAAGGTCGGAGGATCTCATACAGAAGCTTACAATAAAGCATAATGTAAAAATAGAACTTATTTTTGTCAAAAATGGGATGTACACTTGTCATGATTTATATGTTTGCTTCTTATGTTTACTGCTATTTTGCAAATAGCCATGCTCATCTTCTTTCCAGTCAGAGTAAATGCTTTTTGTGGTTAATGTATATTTTTAGTATATTTTAAAAATTGGGAATCATTTTTATGTATCTGTACAAATAATAAATACCCATTTGGAAAAAGAATAAATAAGCTCTTATATAAAATGGACACAAAACTTAGTTGAAAACAGAATTTTTTTCTTTCTAGTTAGATTTTTTTCCAATTAGATTTAACTTTTGGAATTTGATAGTTTTTCTTCCCCAGTAATATGTCCATAGGTTCATACATTGCTTTTCTCCTTTCAAAATTCATCCTCTTTGACTTAAAGGAACCTTTTAAATGCCCCCCCCAACTGTAGTTTAAGTGTTTTAAATATAATAATTGAGCTATATAAAGTCTGCTTTTCTTATTTTTATATTTGGCTATAATTATATCTCTTTCATGAGATACTTCTTTTTCTATCTTATTCTAGCATCAGAGGCTCCTTGCTAAAAACTATAAATAACAACCTTAATTTGAATTATGTGATTAATTGAATTTTTAGAAATATTGGGAGTAAAGAGAAAGATCGAGTGTATTAGTGCGTAAAATTAACTATTTCATTTCATTATATAAATTAACCAAATTTGAATTATTTATGGTTCCTTTCCTTTGGTTCTTTCCTAGCCAAATTGCTTACATTGTCCACAAATAATAACTACTTCTTCAATCACAAGTAGGTTGTGTTCTTATCTGAGAAATTGGTAATTGTCAGCTACTGATAGTCGAGATCTGCTTTTGTTTTTATTTCCTTAGCATCAATTTTTCATTCTTTTCAATAGGAATATTTTCCATAAAGTATTAATAATGTCAGCTGAAGTATCATATAAACCATTATATATGAAAGATTTTGTGTTTGTCTGCCTTTGCCTTATAGCCATTGCCAAGTCTTTTTTTTTTAAGCTTCTAAGGCTAGAAAATGATATTTACCCATTAATAATTATTATCAATAACTTGGTTATTAGTATCAGTTAACTTTGTTATCAGTAAAGAAGAGGTCCTTAAGAGAAAATATTCTAGAGTCTCATGCCAAAGAGGAATATGAACGTACCTTTTTTTTTTTTAATGGATTTGCCTTGAAACTTAGCAAGGTACAGGCAAAATTAAATGAACAGTGGTAGTCACTAGCTTTTTATTAAGTGTTCAGTGGCTAACGTTTTATCACATTTTAAGTCTTTCAATGGGATTACCAATATATATGAATAATTTTCAAAATCAGGTGCAAAAGTGAGGTTACCAAGGGTCACTGTGGCTATTTTTTAAAAATTTTTATTTAAATTCAAGTTAGTTAACATACAGTGTAGTACTGGTTTCAGGAGTAGAATTTAGTGATGGCAACACTCAGTGCTCATCCCATTTTTAAGGGCTTGAACTCAAGACCCTGAGATCAAGACCTGAGCTGAGATCAAGAGTCGGATGCTTAACTGAGCCACCCAGGAGCCCTTGTAGCTATTTAAATTTAAGTTAATTAAGATTAAATAAAAGTTAAAATTTACTTCCTCTGTCACACTAGGCACATTGTGCTTAGTAACCACATGTAACTAGTGGCTACAGTATTGGACAGTGCAGATATAGAATATTTCCATCGCAGAAAGTTTTGTTGAACAGTTGGTCCAGAATATTGAACTATTAATGTTGAAACTATGTCAAAAGTTATATTCCCTTAAAGATGAACCCATGTTAATAATAGATGATAGAGCCAAGAGTGCCAATGGTAGATTAGATCAGATACTTGTAATGATAATGTTGATTCATAATTTAAAGTAATATGGACCTAAAAAAAAAACAAAAGACAGTACAGTTCCTCCTCAGCCAGAGAGTTTGACATTTTTCCCAGGGTCCCGGTGCAGGGGTATAAAAAAAGCCTCAAACATCATCAATCACTGTTAACTAGAGGTCAGACTGCATCTCATTTAGGGGGGTAGATTACTGACTCAACAGCATGCACCCACATGTAATGATAAAGTAGGATACTTTTGTAAAAGCTGGTGATTTTTAAAAAACAGGACTAGCAAAGTAAAACAAAATTTAACCAAGGCTAGAGATTAGTACATTTGCGGACAATCACAGATTGTTAATGTTCTTTTTTTTTTTTTTTTTGAAGATTTTATTTATTTATTTGAGAGAGAGAATGAGACAGAGAGCATGAGAGAGGGGAGGGTCAGAGGGAGAAGCAGACTCCCCGCTGAGCAGGGAGCCTGATGCGGGACTCAATCCCAGTACTCCAGGATCATGACTTGAGCCGAAGGCAGCCGGTTAACCGACTGAGCCACCCAGGCGCCCCGTTAATGTTGGTTCTTATGTAAGGTATATACATACTTTAAATACAGTTTGCCTTTATTGAAAAAGTATTGTTTGGTTGGGGAAGGAACTTAAAAGCAAGTGTGTCAACAAGTGTTGACCCTACTCCACTTGAATTCCATTAAAATGGAATGAGGGTACCTCAAACTATTCATCAGAAATATAAAGGATTTTCTTCCAGATACAGTGCTGAAAGATATACAGTGCTGGATAACCTACATCCTGAGAGAAGGCAATCTGATCAGTAAGTAAGGAAGCCCTAGCAGAACCCAATTTCTGTCCCACATTTTAAAGGGGAAGGAGACTTTTGGAGACACACCATTTTTTTCCCCAGATAAGATTTAATCTCCACTAGGGAACTTATTCCTTTGGTTTTTCCCTTTCTCTTCTATTATCTTTACTTTTTTTTTCTCTATACTGACTCATTCACACCAATATTTAAATGTGCTTAAGTTTCTCATATCTTTGAGAAACCAAACATTTACCTTCACCCACTGCCGTATTTTGCCCTTAAACTTCTCATACAGTTTCTCCAAATTCTGTCTCCACTTCAAAACCCATGCACAGCTCAACTCCACTAAAACGTCTGAGTCAACAGAGATTTTGTTGCTAAATTCTATAAGTTAGATGTATTTTTTTCATTCTTTTCCAGTAACACTTAAAACTTACCACTTTGTCCTCCTTAAAAAGCAGCCTTCTCTTAAACTTCTCTGACATCACACTCACCCGGTTCATTCTGTTTCTCTGCCCACTCCTTTAGTCTCCTTTCAGTGACTCATCTTAGCCTACTCTGGCTGTCTCCAGGCCCTTTTCTGTCCTGAGCCTGCACCAAGTGATTTCATGCACTCACGGCTTCAAATGAACATCTATCTATATTCTGATGATTTCCCTTTTTTTTTTTTTTTTAAGATTTTATTTATTAGAGAGCGAGCACAAGCAAGGGGGAGGGACAGAGGGAGAAGCAGACTGCCCGCTGAGCAGTGAGCCCAACATGGGGCTGGATTCCAGGCCTGACTTGAAGGCAGATGCTTAACCAACTGAGCCACCTAGGCACCCCTCTGATGATTCATTTTTCTGTAGTTCCAGCCTGGATCTCTAATGAGCTTCAGATACACATCTAGAGGACTAGAACGCTAGTCCTCCTGAGTGTTCAAAGTGGCACCTCAAATTAGCATGTCCAGATCTGAACATTATCTTTCTCCTGAATTTATCATATATGCCTTATCTTATTAGCAAGTGATGCTACCATCTAATGATCCAGTGTAACAAGCCGGAATCCTGGATGTCATTCTTGAATCTTCTAATTCCCTCATCATCTTTATCCAAAATCACCACGTTTTTCCTGTTTTAGCAACTATTTCTCAAATTCAGCCACTTTCCACTTTATCTACTGATACCATTCTAGTACATGCCACTGTAATTTCCAATCTAGATTATTTTACCAGCCTCCTATTATATTCCCCCTCTAGTCAAGTATCCACATTAAGTGTTCTCTGAATAAACTCAAATCTGATTCCCTCCCATCTTTAAAAGCCCTCAAAAACTCCCTATTGCCTTTGCCTTAGAATAACTCTTTACCATAGTTTACAAGCCTATTTCAGCCTTTGTATTTCCTCTCCCATGCCTCTTGCCCTCACACATTCAGACTCCTCTACTGCTGGAAAATCTCTTCCATCTCTCCCCACAAATGTCACCCCATTTCTCCTGGCTAATTTCTAACTCCTTAATAGGGGTTTTGTTTGAACATTATTTCCTCTTGGAAACTTCTTGACAACTCTTCCCCTCAAAACCAGTTAGGGACCTGTCCTGTGCCCTCACAATATCTAATTCTTCCCCTATCAATGCACTCGCATGCTATTTACTTGTGTGTATCCCTCACTGGACTGCAAGCTACTCAAGAGCGGATTTGTGTTTTTTTCACTGATTAATCATCTGGTATATAGGTGTGCAATAAATGTTTGTGTGAAAACTGTATTAATCATGGTTTTTTATTTTTTGTTATCTGGGGCCTTGCTGAGACTGCCCTTCCCAGGGCTAACTGTTCCTAGAGATAGCAAATGTCTCTCCTTCTAGCCAATAAAAGCCCAAACCCTCCAATCACCTTCTTTATCAAACTTTAACAAGCCAAGGCAATATTGCTCTGCCCTAATGACCCCAGGGCCAGGTACCAAACAACTCAGGATAGCCACTACATCCCAAAGCCCACTGAAACTTTTCTATCCAATCTTAAATCTCTTAGCTTGGGGAGTCTGGGTGGCTCAGTCAGTTAAGCATCCAACTCAATTTTGGCTCAGGTCATGATCTCAGTGTCATGAGATGCAGCCCTGCATCAGGCTTGGCGGGGTATTGGGCATGGAGAGTCTCTCTCTCCCTCTTCCTCCGTTCCTCCCCTCCCTCCCCCTCTCTAAAAAACAAACAAAACCTCTTATGTGTACCCTGCCTCTGCTATTCCTTCCTGCAAAAACCACAATAAAGGCTCTCACCCATGCTTTCCCCTTGCTCCTGGCTCCTGACCCACCAGAGTGCTTCCCTGTGTGGACACAAACTTTGTGTATTCTATGTCTAGAATTGGTTTGGTATAAACTATTCTATG